CTGCGTTAAGCTTGCTAGGGAGACATGAAAGGAAATTGGGCATAGAGCACGAGCCAAGGCATGTGGGGATTGTGTATCCAGCCTCTAAATGACACCCCATCTGAAAAAGGAAAGTCTTTTTGGTTTTTCTTCCTCAAACAAGCAGGGGTGGTCTGGCAGGAGCAGGGTGTTAGTCTTTCTGAATTGTAAGCAAACAAGTCCACCAAGACTTCAGCCAATATCAACTTCCTCTCCCCATGTCTCTGTCTGTCTCTCTGGTTCAAAGGCTGGCCTTAGGACAGATGTCCTCCTTGCACACTGTCCCCCAATCCCAGCCTACTGATGCCCTGGACTAGGGGATCAGGGAGAAGTTGGACTTTGTAGAACAATGGCCAACACACCATGGCTTGGGCCAAGTCCAGTCCACACCTCTTGTATAGTCAGTGAGCTAAAGAGGATTCTTACATTTTTAATTGAAGAAAAGAGAAGAATATTTCTTACCATATTAAAATTATATGAAATTCAAGCTTCAATGTCCATAAATAAGGTTGTATTGGGACATAGCCATTAATATATTGTCTAAGGCTGCTCTCATGATACACAGCAGAGTTGTGACAAAGACCACACAGTCCCCAAAGCTGATAGTATTTGCTAACTGGCCCAATCTGTGTAAGTGTTCCAGGCCTCCTCCAGGAGCTCTCTACGGAGCCTTGTTATCGTCTGCAGTGCCCCATGAGTCTGGGGCTGTAGGGCACAGGGCCCTCCACAGAAAACAGCAGATTCTGGCCCTTGGTCTGTGTCAGAGGTGGGGCACCTGGGGGTCAAGTGACCTGCAATAGGTCTCATTTGCCTGGCTCTGTCTTACATTTGGCTGAGTGTTTCCTGAGCATTTACTAGGTCACAGCCACTGAGGACATACAATGGATTGGCTCTGTCCCTGCCTCTGGGTGACTGGACAGCCGTGGGGAACCAGGGACAGAAGCAGGGGGTTCAACTGTCATGTGGTCAGTACTACAGGGAAGACTGGGTGGGGGGAGAGCATGGAGGAGGATGTTACGGTCTACATGGGCATTTATTTGTTGGCCCGCTCTGGAGTCCCAGAGTCTTGCTCTCAGGAAGGAATTGACTGAATACGTGTGGGAGAAGTACCGCTCTTCATTAGCTCATGAATGAAAGTGCTCCCGGTGTCAATTACTCAACAGGAAATGGACACAATGAGCAAAGCAGCTACCATGTTAGAAAATAATAAACGTTTAGTATTACAGCAATTCTATAGATTGGTGTGTTTAAAAGTAGCCTTTTGACAAGATCTGAGCTATGGGACTCCCATGCTACCATTTGGGTAAAAGGGGCCACGTGCAGCTATTCTTGTGTGAGCCTAAAATGTCCCCAGGAGGATACATAAGAACCTGATGGATTATCCCAGGAGGGATGCTGGGTGGCTGGGGACCGAAGCTTTTCACATGTACCCTTTTAAAAAAAAAATTAGCTGTCATTTTCTACTTTTCTTTTAAGCATTTATTTGGAATAATTTTCATTCTTTTTTATATCTTTTTAATCTTTTGGATTTTTAAGCCACGTGAATATAGCACCTATTCAAAAAATGTACAAATTTAATGTCAAAAAAAAATCACACACGGTTTTGCCATCACTTCCCTATGTTGTTTAGGGAAATCGTTTTCCTTTTCTTACATTAAACAAATGATTCTTGACTGCCTGCTATGAACCAGGCAATGTTTTAGACCCAGAGGTGCATCTTTAGGCCTCCGTTTCTTCACTGTATTGTGCAGAGACTAGATTACTTCTAAGGCAGCTTAAGTCTGCAGCAGACTCACCAGGAAGGCTCATTAAGGAGCAGATTGGCATGGTGGCACTCACCTGTAGTCCCAGGACTTGGGAGGTTGAGGCAGGAGAATTGCAAATTCAAGGCCAGCCTGGACTACATAGCCTATCTCAAAAAAAAAACAAAAACAAAACCAAAAACCCAACAACCAATGAAAGGATAAAGATAATGTGGTGTGCATGTGTATATGTGTGTGTGTATCTATCTATCTACCATAGAATATTGCTCAACCATAAAGAAGAATGAAATTATGTCCAACCACCCAAGCTGGGGCTAATCGTGGGGAATCTTCAGGGGATGAGGCTCCCAAGGGAGAGCACATGTGTGAGAAAGGGATGAGGTGCCTCCTCAGAGTGGGTCACGAGCTCCTGAAGGGCACAGCATCTTGGGGAAGGAAAGTCACTCCCCATTGGCAGCACAGGGATGAGTTTCTCTCATTCCTCACTCTTCCTGCTGTTACCCGAGTTCAGGTCTTAACCGTGTCTCACCTGGATACAGCAAGTGCCTACTAATCAGTGCTTGTCAGATTGGAAGTGCACAAGACTCACCTGGGAGTGGGGACCCTTGATAAAGGGCAGGCTCTGCTTGGGTAGATCTCACCTGAAACCTGCATTTCTAACCAGCTCCCAGGTGCTATGGACCTTTCAAGCAGTGAAGAGACGTGATCTCCCCACTTCTGGAGTTCAGCACCCTTGCACCTCTGCTCCGAAGCGTTCAATAGCCATTCCTCCTTCCCAGCATCATTTACATTCAGGGTCTGCTCCAGACATTTCTGCTTAAAATCCTCCTTAAAGGAATTATAAAACTCTTAGCCCTCTCATCCATTTTTAAGTTTACATCTACATTTTTCTCATGTGTTTGCAGAAGAGGCAATTTCCAGTATATCATAAGCATTGATATTTTTAAGTAAAACCATGACATCACTTTTAAATTTACCCAGTGGATTCTCAACACCATAGCAATTCCATCCTCACCATCGCCCGTTTTAAAAATGCATGAACACATTCTTCCTTAATAATCTGTGCTCTTTTATTCTCCTTGAAACTTCCATTTCTCTTCCCGCAGGGAATTTTATTCTTATGTAATATATTTTTAGGCTTAAAACTCTTTCATTTGTGTCTCTATTCTAGTTCTCTGTAAGAACTTTATATAAAGTCACAACTTTTTTTAATTTCCTGAAATCATAAAGCTCAGTATAAAATTTTTCTCCAGGTTTGAGTTATCATTATAATTATTAATAGTACATAATTGATTGAAACAACACAAATACATTACTAATTTGGATAAATAATAGACATAAGTACAATTATATTGAAAGTACATCTCTTAATGGGGTGGTGGTGCCAGATGATTTTTTTAAATAAATTTGTTATTTATGTTCACTGTGCACACCTGTATCCAACCAGGTCACAGTGTACAGCTTGAATCACAGAGTGAGCCTGTTGCTTTCACCCAGGGTTGGAGATAAAATATGGCTGGTGCTGGGCTAGTTCTGTGATGTGCTTATTTATCCATTCCATGTAAGAATATTATTTATTGCTATCATGAGACAAGGATCAGCATCAATTCTATTTCCATTTTTCATTCATGTAGATGTAAGCACTGAAAACCCTCGTCCACACAAACTCTAAGGAATACATGTTTTATTAAACCAGGATCATATAGTGATCTGTCACCAAAAATTATTTCATTATTTCTATTCGAAAGTCCTATTTAGAAAAGAATTAGAGGGTTGGGAGTGTAGCTCAAGTGATAGAATGCCTGTCTAGCAAGCACAAGGCTTTGAGTTTGAACTCTTGTACTGCAAAAAAAAAAAAAAAAACCAAACAACAACAAAAAAAACCTCCCGTGTATATGTGTTTGTGTGCACACATGTATGTCAGAGAAAGAGAAAGACTGTTGACTCGTTTACCTGCTTTCTCCATTTCTAAGTGTCTTTTTGCATGGTAGCTGGCAGGGTTGGGTGAGAGATGAAGGGCAATTCCCTCTGGATCTGTGAGTCCCGTCAAGATTTGAGATGGGATGAGTACGAAGTTTACCTTTGCAGAAAAGGACAACTTCTACCTCTCTCACCCCCTAGTTCTAGAAGAGTTTCTATGGAAGTTGAGGATTGTAACTTTGGATGCATGGGCAGTGTTGGAAAGTTCTTGTGTGCTCCCAGGGGTTCACAGCTCAGTTTGAAAACCATTCAAGAACCCTAATGGACTCACACCAGACCCACCTTTCCAAGGAACTTCCTAGCTCATGTCTCCAAAAGAGGGAAACTGATTGGCCCAGTCTGTCTTCTTGTGCCAGATCATGTCAAGCAGTCATCCCTGTGCACAGATGTTCCCCTGAACAGGGACAAGGAGCCTGGTGAATATTTTGTTGACCTGACTGTCAAACGAACATGCAATTGTCCTTAAAACTTCTTCCAATTCTGTTCTCCCACTTGGCTGCTAAATTCCCATCCCTCTAGTTTTCACCTTTTTTTTTTTTTAATCACATGCGGATCTTTTCCTTTGTATTGTAGTTATTTGGGTCCCATCACCTTTTCCAGCTAAAAGCTCCTCAAGAATGGACCCCTGTCTCAGCCAGGTGCCAGTGGCTCACGCCAGTAGTCCTAGCTACTTGGGAGGCTGAGACCAGGAGAATCAAGGCTCGAGGCCAATTCTGTCTCGAAAATAACCAGAGCAAAATGGATTGAAGGTGTTGGTCAAGCAGTAGAGCACCTGCTTTGCAAGTGTGAAACCTTGAGTTCAAAGCCCAGTCCCACCAAAAAAAAGAGTAGGCGCATGTCTTAATCATTTCCTAACATGCTCTACTCTTGGAAGGTATCCAGTAAATACTTCTTGAACATATAAGCTCTGTGTCTTAAACTTTCTCATTTCTCCCACAGGTCCTAGAATAGTGCTGGGCTTTCAATAGTAAGGTCCAAGAAGAATGGACAAATTAATCAATGAACAAAACAGTAAATTAACAAATCAATGACCTAATAAGCCATTGAATAATGGCCCAAAAGTAAGAGGCCAGATCTTCAGGGCCATTGTAAAGAGTGTGCCAGTGTGGCTGGCACTGGCTGTCTCTAACCCAGTCTCCTATTTTATATTTATTTTCATAACTGGTCATTGTAGATACAATCGTTCGTCCTGAAATGTCCAAATAAATTATTTCTTATCCCTTGCATCTTGTCTTGCAGGTGTGAGCAGCCTCTCCTCACCAAGGTGTTTGGTCTGTACCTCAGCCCTGGAGAGGATGTAAAGCCCCCCAGTCTGCAGATGAGTGATTCAGGCTAACAGGAACCCCTGCCTCCAGCTACCCTCACAGACATGTCAGCCGTGGAGTAGTGTGGACACCTCCTCTCAGCTTCTCAGGGTTTCAGTCTTTTTTGGGTTTTCTTCAGTTACCTTTGGGGTTTTTTTTTTTATGGTTTTGTGGCTAGACATTGACATCCAAGACAGACACCATGGGAGATCATCAGCTATACAAGACCAACCATGTGGTCCACAGTGGTGAGAACCTTTTCTATCAACAGCCGCCCCTTGGAGTCCACAGCGGGCTGAACCACAACTACGGGAATACAGTCTCAGGGGGCGGAATGGATGCCCCCCAGGCCTCGCCCATCTCCCCCCACTTCCCTCAAGATACTCGGGGTGGTTTGGGCTTGCCCGTAGGCTCCAAAAACCTTGGCCAAATGGATACCTCGAGGCAGGGAGGGTGGGGAGGCCATGCAGGACCTGGAAACCATGTCCAGCTACGGGGCAACCTGGCCAACTCAAATATGATGTGGGGGACACCAGCCCAGGTAGAGCCCACTGATGGCTACCAATACACCTACTCCCAGGCCAGCGAGATCCGGACCCAGAAGCTCACCAGCGGTGTCTTACACAAGCTGGACTCTTTCACCCAGGTGTTCGCCAACCAAAACCTGCGAATTCAGGTCAACAACATGGCACAGGTGCTGCACACCCAGTCAGCAGTGATGGATGGAGCTCCTGACAGTGCCCTCCGCCAGCTGCTGTCTCAGAAGCCCATGGAGCCTCCGGCTTCGGCTATTCCTTCCCGCTACCACCAGGCATCCCAGCAGCCTCACCCTGGTTTCACCAGTGGGCTGTCCAAACCAGCCCTTCAGGTGGGGCAACTTGCTCCCCAAGGGCACCTGTATTATGACTACCAGCAGCCCCTGGCTCAGGTGCCTTTGCAGGGGGGACAGCCACTGCAAGCCCCACAGGTGCTGTCCCAACACATGCAACAGCTCCAGCAGCACCAGTATTACCCACAGCAGCAACAAACCCAAACCGCACAGCCCCGGATCTCCATGCAAGAAATACAGCAGCAGCAGCAGCCGCAGCAGATTCGCCCATCGCAGCCTCAGCAGCAGCAGTTACAGCTACAGCAGCGGCAGGGTTCAATGCAGATACCTCAGTATTACCAACCCCAACCCGCGATGCAGCACTTACAAGAGCGGGAGCAACCAATGCACCTGCAGCCCCCTTCTTATCACAGGGACCCTCATCAGTACAACCCGGAGCAGGCGCACGCTGTCCAGCTGATTCAGCTGGGATCCATGCCCCAGTACTACTACCAGGAGCCTCAGCAGCCCTACAGCCACCCCCTATACCAGCCCCAACACCAGCCGCGTGAGGACAGTCAGCCGAAGACTTATTCTAGTGACAGGCAGGCCCCGGTCATGCTGAGTTCCCATGGGGACCTGGGGCCACCTGATACAGGAATGGGAGACCCAGCGAGCTCGGACTTGACCCGGGGCAGCAGTGCCCTCCCCCATCGACCGCTCCTGTCCCCCAGCGGGATCCACCTCAACAACATGGGGCCGCAGCATCAGCAGCAGTCTCCCAGTGCCATGTGGCCCCAGGTACCTCACAATGGAAGTTTATCGCCATGTCTCAGTGTGTGATAGGGCCGGCTGAGTCCCTGCAGTGCCCAGTTCTCTCTCTGACCCTCAGCCTTTTTGGTCTTTATACCTTCCAAAAACTTTAACCTGCATGCGCCAGGCACTATCTATGCCAGGCACTTTGGAAGAGAACATTTTGATTCGATCCTTTGCCCAGAGAGCTTACAATCTCACTAAGGAGATGGCCGAAATACTGTATCATATCCTAAATGATTCATGGAACAATCAAGACCTTGAGTCAGATGCCAGGGCACCACACAATGGGGCTGTCACACTCCCCTTAAATCTATATCCTTAGGGTATTATTCCCTGTGAAATTGGTTCCCCAATGAGACCATTAAGACAGCATTTCTCAAAGTATACTGTGCAGAAGTGCATTTCTATTAAATGTTAATGAATATTGCCAGAAAAACTCTGGGTTCTGTAGATTAATTTGGAATGTCTTAAAGTGGAACAGGTTGCTATACTGCAGGGCCTCTCAGGTCCTTTAATACGCCAGAGTGCACTGTGAATCCCCCAAAGGAGCAGCTGCTATCTATAGTCAGAGGGATGAACTAGAACTGCACTACCGCAGAAGCCAGGATGGTAAAATAAATAAGCAAAGAGTCCAGGGGAGACAATAGGGAGTGGTGGAGACTGTAGCAGACTAGAAAGCAGATGCTCCCATCTTATTCAAGACTTTTAAAAACAGTCTACCAAATGAAATACATCTGCGGGTCAGATTGAGCCTGTGGGCTATGGTTATTAGTCATTGACTAATAACCCCAAAGTAGTTGACCACAAAGAGCCTGCTGTTGCTGGGGACTGTTCATACCTTGCTATGTTCCACTCGTGACAGAAAGGTCTTTGGAGGAGGAGACCCCAGATTGGAACTAGTTGGGTAAGGAGAGGGCGCTAATAGTGTTTGAAGGTCATTCGTGAACTTCCCTTAGACATTGCATAGACCCAATAGTAGGTGAGAGCCTTTCTGAATAAAAAAGTGAGATGACATAGCCAAGACTTTTAAAACAGAATTCCAGCAGAAGGTCTCCTGGCAGGATGCTGTCCCTTACCTTTCCTGTATATGTCCCTTGTGGAGATGGAGCCTGTCTGTACAGAGCGGGTGCACTGGGGGAATAAGAAGGAAGGCAGTGAGGGGTTGTGTTCCAGGGGGCTGAGGCTGATGGCAGCTTCCCACGTGGGTGGTGTCTGTGGCCAAAAGGCAAGTAAGGGAAAGGAGTCAGGCACAGAAGAGCAAAGGCAAGAATGAGCAGGGTGATCATGAGTGGGAAAGTTCTAGAAGAGTAGATCCCAGTGTTCTTACCACTTGAGGCTCCTCTCTTCAGAAACACTTTTTTTTTTTTTTCTCTTTCTTGTTTGTTTGGTGTCCTGCGTGACTCACAATTAGATGCACCTACCTGATGGGAGAGCCCAGCCGGGGTCCCCTGAGTCAAGGTAGGATGAGTGGTGGTCTGGGGGCACTGGGGGGAGACTGGGAGGTTTTTCTGGGTTATATCTCTTGGCTCATTCCTAAATTCAAAGTCAGTTTCCCAAAGAAGAATATACAAATAACAATAGCAGTTGCAGGGCTGGTGAAGTGGCTCAAGTGGTAGAATGCCTACCTAGTAAGCATGAGGCCAAGTTCAAACCTCAGTACCACCAAAGAAAACAAAACAACAACAAAATAACAGTTGTGTTTGAGCACTTGTATGCTTGATGCCATCTATTATGTGAAGTAAAATAACCCAATGAATAGATTTGATCACCATGTGCCTGTCAATATAAGTACTTTATGATTGTTATCGTTTTAGAAACAGGAAATCTAAGGCTAAGAGAGCTTAAGGTTACACATCAAGTGAGTAGCAATGGTGAGATTGACTCCAAACCCCGTATTCAGTCCTCTACCCATCCATTCAGTCAGTGAGGATTTATTGAGCGCTACTGTGTGTCAGCCTGGGCTTTGAGAATGCCCCAGTGAATTGTACAGACTTGCTTCCTCCTCTCATGGGCAGAGTAGACAAAGATCCAGCTAGAATCTGATGAAGGAGGCAATCCGGAAGCTGACGTGCCCAAGCTACCATGGAATGGGCAGTAAATCCTAGCTGGGGAAACCCCAGTGCCTGAAGGCCTGGAGTGAAGGAAGATGTGTAGGTCAACCATTGCATGGTTTTAAGAAAGCCTTTTCACCTTCTGAGCCTCAGTTTTTCATCTGTAAATTGGGCTTAGTTCTCTGAAAGGTATGGGAGCTATGATCAGGAGAATGTTGAATAAATAGGATAGATTCACTGCTGGTGTGAAGTCTTATGATAAATAACTTCTTTAACATGTGTGTTCTCTCCATGTTGCCCTCCCCTTGAGCAGTGGCCAACCCAAAGAAGTGTTTGGAGAGCAATTAGATGCCAAGAACAAGTTGACATGTTCCATCTGTCTGAAGGAGTTCAAGAGCCTGCCCGCCCTGAACGGCCACATGCGATCCCATGGGGAATGAGGGCCTCCCCCAGCCTCAAGCAGGTTAGCAGAAGCCAGTCCCCTGTCCTTCCCAGGCCGTGTGCTGCTTGCTTTGCTTTGCTGCTGTCAGACAGAGTGTGAGCCAGAGGAATACACAGTCCTCTCCAGACCAGAAAGCCTAAGCTTTGACACTGGCAGCCAACCAGGTCACACAATGCCAACTTCCCTGACTTTATGAACAAGGGTCAAAAACTGGGGCATTAGAAATCCTTTAAGGGGCTCCAACCTCTCTACTTCCCACAGAAGACAGCACTAAAGAAACCATGTAAATGCAATATTATTTTTTAATTTGTGTTGCTTGAAGTACCCAAGACCATGGCCACTTTGGACCTTCAAAACCAGTGGTCAGTGGCCAAGAAAAGTGAATGCAAGGGCTGGAGGCAAGGCTCAAGTGGTAGAGCTAGCAAGCACAAGGTCCTGAGTTCAAACCCCAGCACCATCAAAAAAAAAAACCTTCCCAAAAGTGAATGCAACCATCAGTTTCTCTGCCAGAATTTTCTGTTTACCAGTGCAGTGGTGTTTGGCTCTGGCATCCAAAGATCCTAAAATACCCTCTGGATTATACAGGTAGGATATCCAGGTAGTAAACAACTATCCATGCACCTCTGAGTTAGAGTTCAAAGAATTTTCTCAGAATTCTTTGACTATTGTTGCTTTTATGGGATTAATTCTCTATTAGCCAGGTTTTTTGATTGCTAAGATCTCTCTAGCTCCTGACCATGCCAGGAAAAAAAGATCCTTTGTCTTCACTGTAAAAAATAGCATGTTTTAAACTGGGCACAGTGATATACACCTGTAATTCTAGTGCTCAGGAGGCTGAAGCAGGAGGATCTTGAGTTCAGGGCCAGCGTGGACTACATAGCAAGACTCTGTCTCAAACAAAACAAGACAAAAATATAGCATGTTTTGCATTTTCAGTGTGGTTTCCTAGCCTGAATAAAATTTATGATGGATTGGCTATTTCCATTTTTCACGAGTAAACTGAGGCCCATAGTATTAAAATTAAAAGCTCCTACATAAGAGCACACATTTTGTTTTGACTGAATACAAATCCGAATCCTTTTCTTCAAAAACAGTGACAGCTACAAAAAGTTTTTTAAATATTTTAAAGTGATACAAAGTCAAGATGTTTTAAGTATAAAAAAATAGAATGCTTGGCCTTGTCTGCCTCCAACTGGCATTACTCAGCCTAGGGACCCAAGGTTGCAGGAAGGACGCCATCCAGTAGTGGTTCTCTGTCATCCATGCTTGATATCCTGGAACCTTTCAGGAAAAGCAAAGTGCTTCCCCCTTGGGACAGCTGCTCTCAGCCCAGGATCAAAGCCTTTATTGTCTGTGTAGGAGGAAGGAGAGAAGGCCCTGCCATCTCAGCCCCAGCCGCCACTGCCGCCTCCACCGCCACAGCAGCTCCCTCCCGAGGCAGAAAGCCTCACGCCTATGGTCATGCCCGTGTCTGTCCCTGTCAAGCTTCTCCCGCCCAAGCCCAGCTCTCAGGGGTTCACCAACAGCGTCGCTGCCACCCCCTCCGCCAGAGACAAGCCAGCCAGCTCAACATCGGAGGACGAGATGCCTGTGCTCGTGAGGATGACCCTCTCTCCCCCACGCTCCCCCCAAGGGGCTACCCCCTGTGCGCCTGCTGTGAGTTGCTGCTCTGCCTCACCTGCCTGGGGTGGGGACATCTCTTTGCTTTCTTGGAGATGAGGACAGCTCTTCCAGGGTCACTGGCTTGAGCTCAGACATGGCTTAGCCTCCTTCTTGGAACTGAGCCTTTATGGCACCTTCACGCCACCCATTAAACACCTGTTACTCTTCCAGGCTAATGGTCTGGGTTGGATTCTGAGACTCAAGCTGTTCTCAGGTTTAACATAAGTCAGCTGGCTGTCACTGGTATGACCATACCAGCTATTAAAATACGGAAGTACTTCTGCCCCAAATAATCCACAGCTGCTGACTGGCTCTTGTCTTTCCCCAGGTCTGCCCTGGGTAGACCTCCAGGCCTGTCCAGATCCAGCCACCAAAGAGGTAGCAACCATCTGACAATCAGCCTTACTAGATGCTTCATATTTTCAGCATCACATCTGCCTAAATACCATGGAGAACCTAATTCGTTAAACTTCCCAAAGAAATTCCACTAAGTGCTACTTGCCTCCCCTCACCCAGCTCAGGAAAGCAAAGTGATTTGTGTTTCTCACTCACTGCTAAGTTTTCCTTCCGTTTCTCAAACCCCACCTCCTTCTCTCCCCTCTCCTTCACCCTGGGAATTTGTGACTAACATGATTGGCTCTCTCATACTGCCCTTTCCCACAGAGTAGTGTGTTGGGTCCTGTTTGTCCTTAAAGACTAGGTCGGTTGCTAGGAATCCAGGGGGCATGAGAGTAGGGTTGAGCCAGAATAAGGGTAGGGAGGATAATTAAGAAAACTAGAAAAGTCCAGAAAGAACCGTTATTTGGTTCTCTGTGTGATATCCAGGCCTCTGAAGAGTGAACATTTTGGAGAACCTTGGAGGATGAAGATTCTTATCACCGGGCAGGAGGGGGCTAGCAACAGACAGAAATGAAATGGAATATCCAAGATCCCTGCCCACCTTTGCCCAGGAAGTTCCTGATTTGGTGGGAGAGATACTGTATCTTACCCCTGGAGAGCTCTCCATCAAGTGTTCCTTAGTCACACAGGGATCACAGTCTACCCCCACCCACTCACTGAAAATAGGAGGAGGAGGATGAGGGTAGAAGAGAAACTGATTCCCTGGGTGTAGCTGGCTGAGAATATACATGGTCCCTCGTATAATGATGGTGCAAAGTGATACGAATTCAATAGAAACCGTACAACTTTGAATCCTCTCATGATGCTGGGCAGTGACATCAAGCTGTAGCTCCCAGTCAGCAGCACCAGCACGAGAGGAAATGACTCTCTGTAGTGCAGTGATGCTAAGCTTGGATGCTCCATGCTTCGTAAGCTAGGTGTATTAAATGCATTTTCCACTTACAGTATTTTCAATTTACGATGGGTTTATCAGAATGTAGCCCCATCACAAATTGAGGTGCATCTATATGCCTGGGAGCTGAAGTCATTAGTGACTAAGGACAGTTTGGTGTGAGTTTGCTGAGGAGATCATTAGGGGAGTTCTGAGCAGGCTTTTGAAGGAAGGGATGAACTTGGCTTAATGGAGAAGAGGGAGAGACATCATAAATTCAGAGACAGGCTGAAGTAGAAGCACGTAGGTAGGATTGAGTAAATGTGAGCAAAGTCCTGGCATTTGATGTAAAAAAATTAAAATATGTAGAAAGGAGCCCTGGATTCTAGTCTCAGCTCTGATCCTAGCCAGCTAGGACAAAGGCAGTTTGGGAACCTCTCCCTCAGCCTCTTCAGGCACCTCCCCTGACCTCTGCAGGGTTGACCTCATCAATGGGTCTCCTTCTCTGCCAGCAAAAGCTTTTAAAGCCCTCAGCATTTGGCCCTGCCCCTAACAGTCTAAAACCTGATGAAGTGGAACACTGTAAATGCTGTCACATGACACCTAAGTGTGACATTCTGAGTAGCTTCTCTGACCCAGGTAGCTCAGAGACTTACCTGGAGGATCAGAAAATCCTGGTTTAGAGATGGAGTAACAGGGCTGGTAGAGTGCCCTAGCAAACATGAGGCTCTCAGTTCAAGCCACAGTACCCCAAAAAAAAAAAAAAAGAGAGAGAGAGATGGAGTAACAAGAAAGGAGACTATAAGAAAGAGAGCCGAAAATGGACCAGACTCCAGGACGGAGTTGAGACCACCTGAGGTCTGCATTGCTTAGATGACCTCATTAGTACCCAGGAGCAGAATTTAAGTTTTCAGCTTGCTCCCCAGTTGAGGGTGCAAAGCCTCTCTTCTCCCATTCTCCTCAGCTGTGTCTGTCTTCAGCCTCTGTCCACCTTAGCCCTTCTCCCCCTAAACCCCAAGCCCTAAGGAATCCTCTCTGCTGGGGGAGAGGAAGCAGGCTGGCCAGCAGGGCTTAGTGACCTGGGGTCTGGAGCCTGGGAGCCAGTGCTCCCTGCTTCTTTCCCCACCTCTACCTCCCTAGAACCCCTTCCTAGAGGTTAGGACAGCACTTGAGAAAAGCGAGAGAAGCAGGAGGCGGGTGGGCAGAGCCTGCTGTGCAGAGGGGCCCACTGGGGCAGGTCTTGGCCTGCAGGCAGCTGGTCACGTGACCGTGCCCAGCCCTTCCCATCACCCCCTGCTGCTGCTGCTGCTGCTTCTGCTCCTGCTGCTCCTCACTGGAGCTGCTGGGAACTGCAGCTGTGACCGGTCCCCCGGTCCTCGGAGCCTGGGTGGACACCTCAGCTCCCCAGAACCTCTCCGCAGGTCTCCCTCCCCACGGCCTGCTCCCCTCGTTTCTGGGCTGCTGCTGGCACGCACCCCAAATCTGTTTCTGTTTGGCTTTGGCATGCCGAGCTTCTCTCTTTGCGTGCATATGTTTATTTATTAGGATCTCTGTGTCCATGTGGCAGAGCTTCCTCTCAGACTCTGCCTGGGGGCCGCGGCCATGACGAGCTCACTCTGCTTGACAGGAAGCCAACGAAGGAGAAACGCTTGCTACAAACGGGGGGCTGGGCGGGGAGCGGGGCGGGGGAGGTCCCTGTTTTTAGGAGAGGCCGTTAAAGGAGCACAGCTGGCTCGTCCCCACCCAGAGTCCCCCTCCAGGGCCGTGTGTTCGGCCGTGGCCTTGCGAGGCACGGGCCTCACCCTGCCTCGGCTGCCCTGAAGAGATTCTTCCCCATGTGGGGGAATTCAGGCGCCCCCCCTCGGCCGGATTCCACTCAAACAGATGGGAATGTGGGGACAGGGGGAGAACTTGGACTTAGGGCGCATGCCCACGCACCAGCCCCTGCCACCCCCAGATCCTTCCAGACGTTAGGGATTTCTTCCCTCAGCCCCGAGCAAGCGGACGTGGAGGGAGCGGGAGGGACGCCCGTTAGCACGGTGGGGACCCCTTCCCGACCCCGTGGGGAACGGACGCTGCCGGGGTCCCAATCGTCTGCCTCTCTCCCCCCCACCGCCCTTTTTATTTTTAGGAACTCCCTCGGAAGCAGCAGCCCGCCACCGCCAAAGCTGAGGAGCCCCTCAAAACCGGGCAGGAGAAGAAAAAGTTCCGGCACCGGCCCGAACCCCTCTTTATCCCGCCACCGCCCTCCTACACCCAGAACCCGGCTCCTACTCCGGCGCCACCCTGTACCAGAGCCAGCTGCGCTCCCCGCGCGTCCTCGGGGACCACCTGCTCCTGGACCCCACCCACGAGCTGCCCCCCTACACGCCCCCGCCCATGCTGAGCCCGGTGCGCCAGGGCTCGGGGCTCTTCAGCAACGTCCTCATCTCGGGCCATGGCCACGGCCCTGGTGTCCACCCACAGCTGCCCCTCACGCCCCTCACGCCCACGCCACGGGTGCTGCTGTGTCGCTCCAGTGAGTCACCCCCTGTGGCCTGGTCCTGAGCTCCCTGGGCATGGGGCATCCCTGTCTGGGCTGGTCACTAGGGGAGAGGACGGGCTCTCACTTTTTCAGTGGTCTCATTTATCCCTCAGACTTTTGTGGAATGTCTAATACAGGTGCTCAGAAATTCTTAGAATCAGATACAGCCCTTAGCCTCAAGGGAATCACAGTCTGAGTGAGGCGAGAAGTGAGCAAAGTCTCTTTGGGACCAGGAAAAGGCAGTGTGCACACATCTAAGAGTATCACAGGTTTCCAGATGTGCAAACAGGGTTAGGTATTACCTGCAAGATCAAGCCCTGATGTTTGAGCATGCTTTATGAAAAATCAAGCATGAAAAGCCCATGAGGTAGTACACCCCTGAAGTCCCAGCTACTTAGGAGGCTGAGATGAAAGGAGCTAGAGTTTAAGACCAGCTAGGAGACATAGCTAGACCCTGCCTCAAAAAATATATATATATATTTTTTAAATCAATCAGAGACCTGTAGCCAGAATGTCTTTGTGGAGCAAGAATAATTTCCTAGAAACCGCACTGCTTAGCAGGCCAGTGTGGAGCGCTGGCTGCTCTTCACACTGTGTGAAAAATGTGTAGCCCTCTGCCACTTAGCACTGCACTCCACCCAGTTCTCTGGAGACTGACATGGATTGGGTAGGAGAGAGGCCTTGTTTATAACTGGTTAGCTAACTGCTCATTTGTTTAGTTTCTTCAGAACCCCTTCTCTGTTGGCCAGTGACCTCTGGTTTTTGTGTTTCAGACAGCATTGATGGCAGCAATGTGACAGTTACCCCAGGGCCTGGAGAGCAGACTGTGGATGTTGAACCGTAAGGAAAAGCCAATTATTCTTTAAAACTAAAGCCTCAGCTGAGGAAAGGGATCAGGAGCTTTGAAAAGAACAGTCAGTACTTAGTGGCCACTGAGAGAAAATGTAGGATCATGGTATTTCTTGGCCAGTATTTCAATGTGTTTGCCAACAACTAAATGCATGGTAAAAGTGTGAAGCCCTGGATTCAGGAAACCTAGCATCCCCATCTCTGGCTCCACAGGCTGGCATGGGTGGACCCTTGTGCTTCCACATCCCCAGTAGCATTGAGGCCTCTCTCTTGGAGTACCCACTCTCTAAGGGGCTCCTTCTGAATGCCCTTGCTTCCCCAAGCTCCTCTGTCAGATTCTTGGCCTGTCTTCTAGGTGGGCTTGTTGAGTATTTGAATCATGCAAGGGAAGAGGGAGGTAAAAAGTCCCCGGCCCCCATCCATGGGGTATATGTTCCAAGACCTCCAGTGGATACCCAAAACCTCTGATTATACCATACCCTATATACAAGCACTGTGATGCCTTTATACTCTACCTGATTACTGAGACATAGTCCCTGTGATAACTCAGCTACCAAGTGACTAACAGGCAGGTAGCATATACATCATGGAGACTCTGGACAAATGAATGATTCACATCCCAGACAGGACAGAACCATTGACCTGAGAGTTCATCACACTATTCAGAAAGGCATGCAATTTAACATTTATGAATTGCTTATTTCTGGAATTTTCTGTGTAATATTTTTGGACCTCAGATGACTGTGGGTAACTGAAACCATGGAAAGCCATAGATAAGGAAGTACTACTGAATTATGGGTTGGAAAAGTATCTCTTTTTATGGATAAGTACAGAAAAAAGGGTAAGTGGTAGAGAGTCAGGAATCAAAACTAAGTTCTGATACCATTTTGTTTATGATCCACATCAAGTTAACCTGTCTAGACTTTGGTTGACTACTATTAAATAGAGATAGTTATTACTGCCTTGTTTACATCACAGATCTTTGAGGCTCAGATGGGATAATGTACATGAAAGTGTCTGGAAAGGATAAAAAAATTAAACACTGTATTTGTCTTTTTTTTCTTTTTTTCCTGGTTAAATGGTACCATTGGCCATGCTCTAGGCAGCTCTTCTCTTGGAATTAGCCACCCTTCTGCTCCAGGAAGCTGTGAAGCCCAAGCAAACTGCTTCCTTGCTTTCCCCACCAATTCTCCCCAGCTTTAAAGCTGTTCCTTATCTCAGTGAAAAGGCATTGCTTGGAATCTTAAGGTCACATTGTAGGGAAATGCCCCTATGTTCTTCTTGCAGAAGAAACTGGTTTTTTTTTTTTGAAAATTCCTGAAAGTTGCCCTTGGCTTAGGTCATCAAATTGAAGACCACACTGTTGTTTTTCTTCTTGTCATTAAAGACGCATCAACATTGGCTTCAGATTCCAAGCAGAGATCCCAGAACTCCAGGATGTCTCTGCCCTGGCCCAGGACACACACAAGGCCACATTGGTATGGAAGCCCTGGCCAGAATTGGAAAGCCAGGATCTCCAGCAACGAGGTATTGGCACGTGGGAGGAGCTGGGTGGGTGAGGCTTGCTTCTCTCACTGGGACCTGTGGCTCCAGGATTAGTGTGTTTTTCTATGACATTGAGCTCTCTCTAATGCAATGATTTCTCCTAATTCTCAACAGTGGAGAATCTTCTGAATTTTTGCTGTTCAAATGCATTGCCAGGTGGAGGGACCAATTCTGAATTTGCTTTGCACTCTCTCTTCGAGGCCAAAGGTGATGTGATGGTAAGGAACCTAGAAAAGGAGGATTTATGGGTCATACTCGTCACATCAGAATTCTGAAAAAAATTTCCCTGTTTGTGCTGTCCCATACACATTACCATAAGTTCATAAAGTGATAGCCAGGTACCATGGCTCCTTGTTCCTCATCTCAGTGAGTAGATCATGATTTAAGAGCCTATAGAAAAAAAAATCTCCAGTTGGACTTCTGTTGACACACCTGTTTATAATTATTAATTGGGGGCACATCTGTCCAAGGAAATTAGAATTTCTTTCCATCTGTCTTATATTTTACATAAGAAAATTGAGTCTCCAGTGATGGAGGTAGAAGGCCTTATTGAAACAAGAGTTGGCCTAACACAGCCTGACCTATTGTTGATGGTCCTCCCTGCTATGGAAATCAGCCAAATTTTGGTATTTCTAGAATTCTTTTTCTAGCTCAAATGGAGTGTTTACTATGTACCAACTGGTTCCACTCTTCCAAATTAGAGCCTTGGTGCTGTCTTCTCAGATTCAGAGCTGATCATTTGCCTGCTCACCCTGGACTTCTGGCCAGATCACTCCATCACTAGCCTCATTGTCCCCTTTATGTAGACACATGGTTCTTCTGGTGTGAGATCCAGCCTCCTGCTTTTAGATTTTCTGAAAATAGGAAAGTAAACAAATGTGAAGGATACGACAGTACCCTTCAAGTATGCTCTAGAATATTGGAGAACTTTCCTTAACCCTTTGAGATCACTGTTGCAGAGCAGCACTGCGTGAACTTTCAATGTGCACACAAGTCATTGGGGAATCTTGTTAAAATACTTTTTTTCTGATTCAGCAGGTGTGGGGTGGGACCCAAGATTCTACATTTCTAACCAGCTCCCAGAAGATGTTGGTGCTGCTGGTCTGTGGACCACAGTTGGAGTGGCAAGATTCTCAGCCTTGCTCTGAGAACCATCCACTTCTCAACTCTGCCTGAAGCATTTCTTTAAAAGCCAAGGCAGCTCTGAAGGGATTGATTTGGCAACATTGACTAGGACTGTGTGTAGTGCACTTATTACTAATACAGCTGTTTACATTCAATGGTAATGATTTTCCTGTAAAACAGTTACCAGTCACCCACTCCTTCCCTCAGAGCTGTTCTCTAGAGACTAGGCCTCTACTCAGAGGAGGCCCTACCCATCTCTGAGGCTGGTGGGCCCTCCCCATGGAAGGATTGGAGTCTCAGCCACTACCTGTGTTTTCTTTGACAGGGCCAACTGGCTTTAGGCACAGGCTGGGAAGGTGTAGACCAACAAGTCCTATTGGTGCTGAACAGGAATGAAACCCCAATTAGGGTCATCTCCTTCTGGTTTTCTTTCTAGTGCCTCCACCCCCAGGCTCTGTAGTGGTAGCTCCTTTTCCCTTTTGGGTAAGTGGTCTCCCAAGGACATGCTAACTCCCACCTTTTCTCTCTGGCTCTACAGGCTGCTCTGGAAATGCTGCTGCTGCGGAAGCCAGTCAGGTTAAAATGCCATCCTTTAGCAAATTACCACTATGCCGGTAGGTTGCCAGGAGCCCTGTGCCCCACTGTTCCCTGAGAGCGGCTGCTTGCATGTTTGGCTGTCATCACTTTGTAATAACAGATAACACCTGCTCTGTCCTGATCACCCCTTGTGATCTCAAGGCCTTCTGGGGCACAGCTGGTGCTGTCAGTTTTGTCTATTGGCCCAGCACTGTCAAGCATTCATCTGTGTTAGCTTCTGCCCCTCATGGGTATGCCAAGGTGTAGGTGATAGTAGTCCCATGTGGCAGTGAGTCCTATGCATCGGAGGAAAGAACCAAAGAGGGTACAACCCAGAGCTGACAACCATCAGCATCCCCCATGGCTTCAGAGTTAGTAGAGGTGGGTTCAGATTTTGCCTTGCCCTTTGACAAGACCTTGGGTTTTCTGCAGGCTTAATTTTTTTCACTGTAAAATTGGGGCTCATATTCCATCCCTTCTAGGGTTTTTGTTAGGATTAGAGATAGTGTATATAGCCCAGTGCCTGGCATATCCCAGTAGCTGTGGTTATTTATTTATTGAATGCTTACTGTGTACAGTGACTTGCTAAGCACTAAGACACAACAATGGTTATAACCAGCATGGACATAGTCCCACCTGATGCAGCTCAGAATCTGAGGAGGCAGTTAATGAACAATGGGTCACTCTAGAGGCAGGAGAAAGACTTCATAAATGTAGGGTCTGATGGATGTGTGGATTAAAGATAGCATCACTACCAATAAAAGAAAAATAAATGGCACCTTTGAATGGAGTGAGAGCATGAAGAGAGAAGGAAATAGATGACCAGGGCTCACCTGAAAGGTGACAAATGAAGTCAGAGTCAACTTCCAGCTCTGGAAGCCTGTCCATTCTGAGATTTCCATGATTCTGCCTTGATTCTCTATTTTAGAGGGTCTGTATCTTTCATTGCCCCTTAATTTTTAATTATCTGAGGGTTTCTTTGGTGTCTTGAGCAGACCCCACTTAGGTACATGCTTAGGTAGGGGCCTGGGGGTGACACCCTTGTCAGTCTTTGGTCCTGGAAGCCAGACACAGCCTAAGGTGAACTGCTTAATAGATACTGAAATGTCCACCATTTGCCTCGCTTGGCGTGTTCTTCTCTCATGAGTTGGCTTTCCCACCTGTCATCACCAGATAGAAAGGCCTCAAAACCACTCTTCAAGCACGGCAAACCCAGGATGTCTGCCTGTAGGTTACTTCCAGGCTACAGCAGCCATTGGGATAATGCAAGCAAAAAACAGACACATGGGATAAGAAATCCATCATTTAGCAGTGTCCTATGGGAGCCAGTTCTTAATATTATCTCCATCATTTCCTGCTTGTGTGGGTAGAAAGATGTGGGAGTTCTCTCAAATCTACCATGGAAACAGTTCCATCTTCTTCTCTTAACTCCCAGCATCATCTGCAGCCCATTAAACCCTAACAGGCTGTCCAACCTCCTGGAGTCTATCCCAAGCCTCTACATAGTAGGTGGGACTGTGGGCTGGCTCAGGGGAACTTTGCAACCATGGCTATGAGATGCTGCTGCCCTCAGCCTCAGGGTGGCTGAGGTGACCAGAGCTTTGGGGTTGGTCATATCTAGCTGTAAGCAACCTCATCTGGGACACAACCCCCACTCCACTTCTTTCCAGTGTGCCAAACAAGTGTTATTATTTTGATGTGTGTCATGAATGAAAAAGACTAGAAAGCTGTGGGCCAGAGGCCCACACACCCCCAAGAAAAACAAAGCAAAAACGCTGAAATTTTGCCAAGAATTTTGAAACTAGAGCATCTTAAACTCTGCTAAGTAGTGTTTTGGGGCTGAGGTTCCTACCTAATCTCTTACCCTTCTCCTGCCCCTTCCTCCCAGGTAGATTAGGAAGGACTCTTGCTTTCTGGAATCATTTCAGCTCATGGAAACCAGAAGCAGAGCTGAGGTGTGAAGGGTTAGTTAGCATCATCTGTGTCTAACAGTCACTTGCCTTCTCCAGGAAGTGATTGCAAACCAGGCCCCAAAGAATCTTCTAGAATTAAGAGCAAAAGGGGCAGAAGTCACTGGTGTCTGTTGTCTGACCCGACTCTATTTCTTTCCAAGTCACAAGGAACACAGCAGAGTCTACCCCATCACACATTTCAGCCACCACCTCCTTCTCCCACTCTGCATCCCACCCCCATTTGGTTCCTGAGTGACAGTGAATCCTGTCCTTCATGAACCTGTCTTACCTTGGTCTGTGCTGTGACCCATATTCAGTGCTTCCCAGTGGTACTATTGGCTCAGTTCCAGCCTCACCAGAACACTATCTTCTGGAAGTCCTTTGGCTCCCAGCTCTGTGGCTGTGGCCAGCATCTCCCACCATGGAGCTGGCCGTGGAGTTGCACTTTAGGCTCCTAGGTATCTACAGAAGGAGGTAAAATTCAGACCCCTATGTGATCTATAGGGCTGGCAGCAAGACTGGGCTCAGGAAAGGAGGCTGTAAGTTTGGACAACACAGAGATGCCTGTGAAAAACACTCCCTTTTTTTCACTCATTACCTTCGCTTTCTCATTCCATTCCAACCAATTCAGTAAGAAAAGGAAAAAGTGATCAATGCTAAGACTTGAAGAGTTGTGCTAGGGAGTGAAGTGGGCAACTGACACAAAGGGCTGCTTGCCAGGCCACCCACATCCTGTATAAGATCCTCAGAGGAAGGTGCTGTGCAGTGGCTCCCATGCTGAGTTCACACCAGGATGCATAGTCCAGCCCTCTGTCCTCTCCACCCATGCGTGGCTAGCAGCTATTTGCATGGCTTCCCACTTTCCACTTGCATCTGGGTGGAGAAGGGTTGGCGAAGGGAAAGCAGGGTCGAGAGGGACCTGGTTGTGATCAGACAGCTTGCCGCGAACGTCTTTGGTTTCTCCATTGAGCTGGTCCTTCTGCGGGTGAGTGCAGAATGAAGGGATGTTAGAATTGGCCCTGGATTCTTGGTGAGGGTTCAGCAGGGACAGCTGTTGGTTCCCACCACACCCAAGGCACCCAAGGGACCCTGACCTGAGCTCCAGAGGTGGGGGAAATCTGGAGGAAACACCAAGGCCATGGGGGAGGCCTGGTCTGTCTTGGAAGATGAGACAGAATTACATACTTGAGAATATTTTGCAAGAAACACAGCTGTGACTTCATATTCCAGCATTCTTAGCCTATGTCAACAGCTAGATTATGGTCTCTGCAAGAGCAGGAGCTGAGTTAACTCAGTAAAATCTTGCTATCTGTGGATATATGGTTCCAAGGAAATGCTGTTGAGGAAAAAAACATGCATACTTAGGATGCATAGAATTTGCTAATGCTTGATTCATTTTTCCCACAATGCTACCCAACTTTGATGAAGACATGCCGCCTCTCAACAAATCTAAAATTTTCACTTTATCACTTAAACTAAGCACATTCACTTTTGCCTTGCTTTGAGGGCACCATTTACTTGTGTGTGTGTGTGTGTGTGTGTGTGTGTGTGTGTTTGAACTCAGACCTCGAGCTTGTAGAGTGGGAGCCACACCTCCAGTTCATTTTGCTCTGGTTATTCTAGGGATGAGGTCTCATGAACTATTTGCCCAGGCTGGCCTTGAACCATGATTCTCCCTATCTCAGCCTCCAAAGCAGCTAGGATTACATGTGTGAGCCACCACACCATTTGCTTTTTGTGAAGCATTTTTTCACAAAATTAAGGGCAAGGAAATACTCAGCAGATCACACAACAGTTTAAACACAACTGATGATACTGTGGGGCCGACTTAGAGCTTCTCCACCTCAACTGATCTGTGTCATGCATGAGATTTAAAAATTGTTTTTGAAATTTCTTTTGATTTTTAATTTTATTAATTTTTTTACCATACCACGTGTAATAAATCCATGAATAAGGCAGGCTTACTGTATTTGATGTGTTGCTTCACCTGACACACTTGTGAAGCAGATGTTTACTGAACCAGTTCAAAATAAGGATTCAGATTAAGTCCTCCCTCCATTTTGCCCCCAGAGGAAACTTTGGTAGCAGCCTGCTTTATCTTGTACCCCTAAAAAATTATTCAATTGTCACCCACAATGGAAAATCCTTTAGGGAAATGAAAATCTGGTATAAAAACAGTCCTGTTTCTAGAATGCATGTGTCTTTCTGAGGTAACTATAGTATCAGCAAGAGTTTTTAAATCCTGAATAGCAGACAGAAAGGCCATCTAAAAGGTACTGCACCCAAACTTTCTCTCCCCACTCCACGTCTCTTTTTAATTGCCTGGGTGCACTGTAGATTGCCCCCAAATTAGCCACAGTCCAGAGCCTGTTTCCCACCAACCAAAGCTCAGATCATTTTTTCCTCTGGATACTGTTCCAGCACCAGTTTCATCCATTTAATTAGGCTCTTTGTCATTAGCCTTAATCGGCTTGTTAGGGGCCCCTGCTGATAATAGCCCAATAGCCAGGAATCCCCAGGTGGAACAAATAAGTCTGGAGGGATGTCAGCCCACTAACCCCGCATGCCTGCCGAGTGGGCGGCAGGGATCCTTCAGAGAGAGGGAGGAAGAATAGGGGAGGATTTGTGGCGGCCCCCTGCCCCGGTTTTACATTTTATGCTGGCCTCTGTCCAAGATACAGAATCCAAGAAGGGCTGGCAGAGACCCTTGTGTAAGAATGAGGAAGTGCCCCTATACCACCTATACCACAGACTCCAGGAAAGAGTCTCCTGAGCCTGGCCTTGACATTGGAGTTCAGAGATACAAAGTATAGTACCATTTCAGAGACAGATTTTAGAGACAGAAAGTATATACCATAGGGAAGCCTTGGGACCATAAATACCAGAGCAAGGAGACTCATGGGAACAGGTGGACTTTGAGAGGCCACTGGTCACCCATCCAAGAGGCAGCCTGTGTCCCATACCCCGAGGCGATGCGGAATCTTTCTAAGTGGACAGTAGAGATCCAGAGTATCTATTGTGCACCTACTTAGTACCAAACACTGTCAGTCACAAAATACAGGCCAACATCCCATGTCTCATAGGAAATTGGGACTCAGAAGCAAAGTGGATTTGCCTAGAATCAGAAGCTCATTTGCAGCCTAAGCTCTCATGACTGAAGTCACCCTTTTTATCACAGCACAGTGGTATCATTCAGGTGTCATTTCTCTATTGCAGACTCGGCTTTGGAATTTAGTCCCAGGGCCCAGTGGAGGGGCCTCAGCCCCAATGGGCAGCCCCTAGATCAGGAGGACAGCTCTAGTGTGAGTGTGAGATTGTGAGAATGGCTTTGTTTTCTCACCCAGCTTCTGTCCCTTGCTTCATGGATGCCCTGTTGGGTATACACAGCACTGCCATTTACACTAAAGCACAGATCTTAGAACTGTGAGAAGCCATCTTCTCTCTACCTGTGCTCCCTGCGTCCTTGGAGTGAGAGGATGGCACAGGTGGTCCAGAATGTACACTCTGGGTTTGGGGAGACTAAAGATCCTGTCACAGAACAGCAACCCCTCAAACCCCCAAGGAGTCTCCTTCTCCCTTGAGGTTTGGGGATTCCTCATAACAGATAGGGTAGCATGTTAACTTCACCTTCTGTGAAGATGCCACGCAAGCCATGTGGAAACACGAAGGGACATGCTTCTGGGATGTAGGCAAACTGGGGAACTTAACCCTGCTCTTACGACTGACAGTCAAGTGAGGCACCTGGTAAGGGTGGAAGAAATCCTGTCCACCAGAGGGACAGGGAGGGTGCTGCCCTGAGAAGGCTGCATGGCCCTGTTAGTGTCTCACCAGCCCTCACCCAGGAACCTTACAGTCTGGCTGAGGTTGGGAAGAATTCTCATTGATGTAATTAGGAATTTTCATCAGCAAAATGTCTCCTGGTGCCCACGTGACATGCAACCCAGGACACACAGTCTTGGCTTAAATCAGGACAGCACATCAGCCTCCTTATAAACTTATGTGACTGCTGGTGTGACCTGTCACCATCGTAACCTTCTTCCATCATTATCTTTTTGGTCTTCCAGCCTGTATTATTTTGGTGGACATCTAAAAGGAGCCATGCCCATTTGGTCATTCAGCTCAATTTGTTGACTAATCCTCTCTCTCTTCCTCTTTCCGCCTCTGCTCCAGCAGCAGATGGATGGTCACCCCCACACTTCCCCCACCCCCAGGCTTGGAGTATTGGACAGGACTGGAGGAACAATGGCGGAACTGCTATAGCACCCCAAGTCCCACCAAGCCCCTCTATGCACATCCACCCCACAAGGCTTCTCCAAGCCCCCAGCCCACCTCCCCTCCCTGTTGCTACGATTTGCACAGCCAAAGAGGTCCAGCTTCCAGAACCTGTGCAAGATGCTCCCTTCTGTTCAGGATTCCCTGCAAAGCTGCTTTCGTTCTAGAATTAGGAAGATAAACTTGCAAGGCAAAGAAGTCAAGTAGTTGCTCTGATCTTTGAGAGGCTTAAACCAGCCCAGCCATGGAGACTATATTCAAGTCTGCAGCCAGCACCAGACTCCTGGGAACCATCTAGGAGCCACAAGGAAAAAGTGTTTTATTTCAGAAATCTGAGTTTGCATAACTGTGCCAAGTGTTTCCTCAAGGATTCTAGAATCTCTGCCCCTAGCCCAAGGAGGCCCCTGCCTGCCCAGAAGGGTTTCACCTAGTTCACGGATTGAGGCCAAACCTACCAAGGGAGAGGTAATTTCAGGTTTCCTCTACTTCAGCCCTGTCAGTTGCAAGTTGGACACATTGGTCCTGTGCTGGAGAAGAGAAAAGATACTATGGTTTGGGGAGTTACAGCTCTGAGAAATTGTAGAAGATATATTAAAGGCCAAAGATGTGGAGAATTCAGTAGGCCAGAAGAATGTGGCAGAATCTTCTGTGAACCAGTGACTGAACCTTCCCTAGCTCCCCAGAAGCAAGAGCCCTGTATTCTCTGTTGCTGTAATGAAATACTTGAAGCTGGGTATTTCTTCATAAAGAAAAAGGTTTACTTAGCTCACAGTTTTAGAAGCTAAAAGCCAAGGTTGAATGGCCCCATCAAGTTTGGCCCCTGGCGAGGAACCCTTTGGCTACATGACAGCACAGCAAATGGCATCATGGTAGAAGTGAGTGCAAGAGAGAAAAATCTCATGGCAAGACTGGAAGCCAGAATACCTGGGGTGGGGCTAGTAATGACCTCCCACTAGGCCCCACCTCTTAAAAGATCCCACCACCTCTTACCGTCATCATCACACTGAGGACCAGGCTTCTAACACATGAGTGCTAGGGAGACGCATTCAAACCTTACATGAACCATAGCAAGCCCCTTTAGATGTAGACTTTATTTCTTGCTCCAAACAAGCCAGTTCCACTCTATGATCTTCTGCATATCCTGCTTTCTTTTTTATGGAGGAAAAAGCATGAATGTCAAGTTTCACTCACAACATAGATACACCATACCAGTAAATGGAGTTCCCCATCAGTCTGTAGATCTGCCAAAAATTGGTCTCACTCACCTCTCCAGCTTCATGTGCTTTCCCTCTCCTGGAATCCTATAACTGGTCATTTTTGGAAGACCTCCATCATCTGTAAAATGGGATAATAGCAACACATTATCTACAGTAGATCCTAAAAACTAATAACTATAATGTTTGGAACCTGGCATGTAGTAAGCCCTTAGAAATGTTAGCTCACTTGTGCTGGCACCTGTTTTGCTTGTAATAGATACCTAATGGATACCTGTTGAATGAGTGAATGAAATATATCATTATCACTGTAGTTTCTGACCTTGCACCTGCTTCTTCCTCTCCCCAGAATTCCCTTCCATCTCCTTCTTACCTGACTTATTTCTGTATGTTCTTTAATACTCCACTTGGTATTTTTTCTATCTGGCAACCTTCCCGGCTGCCCTGGCCCTAACCTGAGCATGGTGTTCCTCCACTGTGCCCTGTTGGAACTCACCTTTACCTGTATTTACAGTCAACACCTTGAACTTAACGGCCCACCCCACTAGAGTGTGAGCATTGTAAAGGAGACAGTGAACCTACACCCTGAAGAGTGTTTGCTGTGTGACTGCTTACAGTCACGAATATAGAAATCACATAAAAGCTGTAGCTGTAATTCATTGCACACTCAATTATCAAGATGGGTGCTGGTTTTTGTTTTGTTTTGTTTTGTTTTTCTTTTTTTGGTGGTACTGAGGTTTAAACTCAGGGCTTCATGTTTGCTAGGCAGGCACTTTAACCACTTGAGCCACTCCACCAACCCAAGATGGGTATGTTTTCTTTAACTTTCACAAAATTCTAAGAGGTGGAAATAATTATAATTAGTAGCATTCATAGGTAACAAAACTGAGTCTTAGGTTAAGTAACCTGCCAAGGTCAACAAGGTCATACTGGCACCAGGGTTGCTAACATTACATTGGCGCTTTTTTTTTATTACTTTTGTGGGGGGTTTTTTGTTTTGTTTTGTTTGCAGTACTGGAGTTTAAACTCAGGGCTTATTCCTCATGTCACTCCACCAGCCTTTTTTTGTGTTGGGTATTTTCGAAATAAAGTCTCTCGACTATTTGCCCTGCTTGGCTTCGAACCATGATCCTCCTGATCTGTGCTTCCTGAGTAGCTAGCATTACAGGCATGAGCCACAAGCACCCAGCTGTTTTGATTTTTTTGAGACAGATTCTGACTATGTAGCCTAGGCTAGCCTGGAACAAACTCACGATTCTCCTGCCTTCCCCTCCTGAATGCTGGGATTACAGACATGAACCATCACACCTGGCTCTACACTGGCTTTTTGTCCAAACAGGAGTCTGACGTGTATTATATCACTTGTTAGACAGTTGTATCCTAACTTAACAAACCAGCAGCTAAACATGGGGAGAACTGTGAGCTGTTCTTACAAAGTTTGTGTTTTGTTGTAGGTTCAGACAAGTGGACCTCCCTAGAAAGAAAACTGTTTAATAAAGCACTAGCCACTTACAGCAAAGACTTTATTTTTGTACAGAAGATGGTAAGCATCATTTTCCCCATTGCTCACTTGAAATTGTACACCTGAGGATACTCAGAAATGGTTGGTTACTGGTTCTTTAACCTCCTCACAGAAAGGCTGTCTTCCAGCCTGGTAGTGGATAGCAGTCGTTTAGGGTGGCATGGCCCCGGTGTCAGGGTGGGGGAGAGAATGAGGATAAAGAAGACAGATTATTTGGATACTGCAGTGTTGTGGTTTCTATTTAATAAAAATGTGCAGTACATGATTCTGTCAGGATAACAGGCACGGGGGCTTCTGGTCCACAATTTACATAATGTATATTGTGTGTATTTTACAAATCTATCATATTTATGAAAGAATTTTTCTGGATATCATGGAGGAGAGGACATGTGGCCTTCCCTTTCCCAGTATTAAAGTTTCTGGAATTATATCCTTAATCATAATGATAGCAATAATTTTTTTAAAATGCCATGTATATAGCATTGTATAGCAAAAGAAGAACTCTTTTCCATAGATGAAATCACATGTAATATAGTAGGTAGTAAAGTTAATAGGCTTTAATTGTCTGGAAGGTGGTCTAAACCACCTCTTAAAAGTTAAAAGTTAAAATGATTCCAAGTGTTTCAACAAACTGATGAATGATGGACCTATATTACATTATGAAAGATCATTACGGGTGTTCAAGTACACAGAGAACAGGATCATAGGTGACAGCTCCCACTGGCTCCTGGTCGTCATCAGTGGTGTGCTAGGCTGGCGTGTCTCCTACTGTTAATCCAAGGCCTTGCCTGGATGAGCATCAGATGCGGCGAACTTGGTCTGGTTGACCACCATCTCCAGCCATGTATATGCTCTTGCCTTTCCCTGACTTTGCAGCCACCACACCCAGTAAGCTCCCCTGCTCCAACCTTTCTTGAGTCACCTTCTACCCAGGAGCAACCTGGTGCATTAGTCAATTTTTCATACCTATAACAAAATACAACTTTATAAGGAAAAGCACTCACCATCTGGTGACTGAAAGTCCAAGCTAAAGCAACCCCATGTTCCGGCCTCTGGTGAGGGGCTAATAGTGAAAGGCATCGTGATGGGAACCCATGTGCAAGTGAGCGGTCGTGCCCTGAGATAGGAAGCCAGAGCTGTCTAGAGGTCTGGCTTACTCTTAACTCACTGACCTTAATTCTTTCCCAGGGTTAGTGCTCTGAGTGACCTTAAGACCTTCCACCATGCCCACCTCTTAAAGGTGCCATCTCCTAATACCATCACCCAGGGCAAGCTCCCAATACATGAAACCTGGGAGGACAAACTGCCTCCAAACCACAGCTGACAGCCCTGCATTGAATGCCATGACGGGTTCAGGTGTGGTGACCGCCAGGTAGTGCAGGTTTTTAAGCAAGGGCCTCTAGGGCAGTAGCCTTGCTCCCTGGGTGATTCTGGGGTAGAAGTTGCAGGTGTCGGGTGGATATTGAAGAGGAAAGGACTTCTGGTGGCGTCCTTCTCATCTCTCCATGTAGATGCCCATATTCCTGCATCCTTTTGGCTGCCTCATGACTAACCCCACATGAGCACAGAGCTACATGAACCAAACAAAGGAGTGTTTTCACTTTTAAATACATAAACTGGGAATCGTCCCTAATCCAAGCTCCTAAAATCCAAAATGGTCCATTTAAATTTGTGGATTAGGAATGCTCACCTAGGAAAGTCTAGGCAGATACTCTAAAATCTGAAAAATTCCATAATTCAAAAACACTTCTGGTCTCAAGCCTCTTGCATAAGGGATACCATTGCCTCTTGCAGGATGAACAGAGCAAGGCTCATTTCCTGCAAAAACCAAGCTCTGTCATCCCAACGTGTGCCTTACATTCCTGTTCTATTACTAAGGAACCTTGTCCATAAGTAGACTTTGAGGGTCAGCAAGTCGGGACTAGGCATACTCAAGCCCATTAAATGAAAAAGCAGCTGGTTTATGGATTAGCAACATCTCTGTGGACTGATCCCAGCAAATCGCCAAGCTATTTAGTGGAAAACAAATTACAAAACAGTATTTCCGGTGTGCTTGCCACCTCTTGTAAGGAAAGATGGTGGAGGGGGGAATGTACATTTATGCTTGTTGGTACCTGCATAAAGAAATTCTGGAATGATACCCAAGAAATTGCTAGGCAGGGCTCTTGTGTGGCAGGGACGAGCAGACAGAACAGGCATGGGAAGGCATCTTTTCACAGTATTCATTTTTTATTGAACATAAAAACCTATTGATTACCTATTACAGAATTAAATATTCCATAAAGCTTGTTCACCACTCACTACTGGAGCTAATCTTGAGTGCACTTTCCCGGCAGGTAAAGTCCAAGACAGTGGCCCAGTGCGTGGAGTACTACTACACATGGAAGAAGATAATGCGCTTAGGGCGGAAACACCGAACACGCCTAGCAGAAGTCATCGAGGACGGAGTGGTGAGTGGAGCTACTAAGTCGGTGCCCATGCTGGCCCCGCTCCCACCCCACCCCGCAGGCTAGTAAGTGGCTGGTGTTTGGCTTTGCTTTGCTGCAGAGATAGCCAGATAGCCACTGTGAGAGGGGACAGAAGCGCTACTCCCTTGCACCACTCAGGGCTTGGCTTTGTGGTAGAGGCAGAAGGAAGGCTTCCTCAGGTTTCACCTGCAGCCCAGTGTTTGGTTATAGATGTGAAGGCTGGTTTGTGTTTCAAGGCAGGTAGGAGCCAGAATTGTGAAATCAGGTGGTCCTTGACTTCACTAATTTATTAGCAGGTGTCCTGCCCTCCTGAAATATTCTTTCCTGATCCTTCCACATCACAGATGCTCTTGACCTTAGAACATAATACACCTCAGAAAGATGAAAGAGCCAAAAGATTTAGCCATTCTCTCTAAAGTGTGAAGAAGAGAAGCTGTGACTTCTAGATAGTGCCAGGAACTCAGTCATTGAGGAACTGGTAAGCAGTGTGTGGATGATTCAATCTGGCATCACCAGTCATCCCTGGCATTGGCTGCCTTCATTAGCAGACAATCCAAAGTGTGTGCATATTAAGATTAAGTCCTGCCAGGTGACTCATGCCTGTAATCCTGACTGATTGAGAAGCAGAGATGGGGAGGACCCCAGTTTGAGGCCAGCTCAGGCAAAAAGTTCGTGCAACCCCATCTCTACCAATAAAAACTGGGCTTAGTGATGTGCACCTGTCGTCCTAGGTACATAAATAGCATAAATAGGAAGCATAAATAGGAAGATTATGCCATAGGCTGGCCTGGCATAAATGTGAAACCCTATTCAAAAAATAACTAAAGCAAAAAGGGCTGGAAGTGTAGTTCAAAGGGTAGAGCACCTGCCTAGCAAACGCAAGGCCCTGAGTTCAACCCTAGTACCACCAAAAAATAAAATACAAAAAGGACATATTAAAGACCTGAGATGGAAATAGTCTCTGAACCCCATATATGTGGCTTTGGTAATTTAATTACATCACTTGCCATCCTTGTAAACTTACTCCAGGTAAGTTTACCTAGATCCATAGCCAGGGGAAATCTCCTTTTCATAGTAATTTGTTTAGCAACAAACTACTAAATTCTCCTTTCTGTCACCATCTAGGAAACTGTGGAATTTACAAATTCTATGAATATTTGTAATTATATTTTCATTTCCAGTTGTGCCCCAGTGGCAAGTGTCAGCACACATGGGTTATTTTCTTTAGCAGACACTTAAATAACACTTTTGATATGGCAGGCCTTGTGCTAGGAACTTTACAAATATTGAGTCATCTAATCCAGTATAAGTCATTTAATACCAATTCTGAGTCAAGAAACAGGGCTTAGGTAAGTTGGCCATGGTCACACAGCTGAGGAGTGTGTTGTCTGAGCCTGATTCCCTTGTGTAATACTTAAAGGCAGTCAAATGCAAATTGTCTTAGAGAAGTATAAAAATACTTGGACTCATTAATGCATCGAAGCCTAAGCTCTCAGCTAAAAATTGATTCTAGCTATGAAATATACACACATATGTACATTTATATTTGGACCCATATATTAGAGAAAATAGAAAGCTGTGAAATAGAATGGCATTGCCATTTTTTAAATCAGAAAGGGCAATACTCTTATTCAGGATTTCCTGTGACCTGGGCTTTTGTTTGGTTTAAGTAATGATGTCTTATATCAGAATAGCCTTTTGCTCATCTGGGACCTGATGCTATTAAAAACAAACAAACAAAACAGTATGGCCAGGCATAGTGGCCTCTAACAAAGAAGGGTTCTGATTTTGAGGCCAGCTTGAGCAATTTAGCAAGACCCTGTCTTTAAAACAAACAACAAAAACAATGTGGCCTCCTCTGGTTCAGCCAACTAAAAGCAATTAAATGCCCACAATGTAAACAGCAATTTATAAGGACATAAACAGCAAAGATGTTAAGTGGCCTCTGCCTTCTGTCCCCTTCACCACTCAACCTATATATTCTAGTTGGAGCAGTATGACATATGCAAGTGGAAGTTTTACCATAAATCCCAACTGTGTTTAGGGTGAGAACCAGAAAGTCTCAAATACAACCTTAGGAACATTCACCCAATTCCACCATTTCACCGGCAGAAGGCTGAGGCCCAGAAAGAATGCTTGCCCAGGGTCACACAGAGCATTGTTTTCCAAATGAGTAGAATAGACAGTAAACAAAGAATCTTGGCCTCAGAGACCTACTAACTAGCTCCATTCTGACCTGTGAAATGGGACAGATGATATGGAAAGTCCCTTCCAATTCTAGAATATTCTGGCTGTGTCAGTGCCATGTTTTGGAAAAGGGCAAAGTCAGAGGATATGGTCTCCTAAGGTGAAGTGGTATCTCTTATACGTGCATGTAACCGAGGGCCTAGGACAGTGCCTGACACAGTACTATAGCAGCACTCAATAAATACAAATATTTGACGGCGAGTGAACATGGGAGCCATTCTGGTTCATAGCAGCATTCCCTCTCCGAACTGTGGAGAGAAGTGGGATGAGCTGACGAGTGTGCATTACAACACAAGGCAGAGGCACCATCTTGGCCATTGGTGCTTTAAAGGTGGTGGTGGGTCGGGGCAGGCCAGCATGTAGCCTCAGATAAGGAGGAGAGCTTGAGAAGACGCCCAAGGAGCCACACCTGCTTGAGCTCATTCACCAGGAGCCAGTACTGGGCTGGGTCAGGAGCACCCACGCCCTCATCACTTGGGACTTAGGGGGAGCAAAAAGCTTATATTTACAGATGACTCAGGCCAATAAAACGAGAAAATCTTGATGAGAGGCGAGCGTTGTTGCTCCCAGCTCCCTCCTGGACACTGCACAGTCAGCCTTCTTAGTACTATTTGCCAAGTGGAGATGAAAAAAGGGAGGACAGGGAAAGGTGCAGAAGGCACAGTCCTAGGACATGGTCCTGCTCCTTGTCCTTGGGGCTGCCCAGGGCTGTTGGGACAGCTTTCCTGATCATGTATCCTCAGTGTTTTATTAAATGGCAGATGAGCATTTCTGCCAGATGGAACACAAAAGAATGTACTCAGGTAGCACAGACAATTGAGGACTTAAAGGGTTTGTAAGGAATGACTGCTTTGTAGGTGGCCAAGAGGTCAATATAGCACAGTTGCCTACTCAGCAGGGACAGTTTGACTTATAGCCTGAGCCATCACAGGTCCTTCCTCCCTCAGAGGCAGAAGGGACCAAGGCTGGTTCCATTAAGAAGGTGGGAAGACAGTGTGAAGCCCACACCTTCCTGCCCATGCTCACACTGTCCCACTCAGGGCAAATCTAGGGCTGGTTGTAACCAAAATTCAACCCAATTCAAGAACCCAGGGCTGGTGGAATAGCTCAAGTGGTAGAGCACCTGCTTGGCAAGCATGAGGCCCTGAGTTCAAACCTCTGTACCACCAAAAAGAATCCAGCTGAGGCAGTTAACTGACTTTGGAAAACAGGTGTCAGAGCTCCAAGTACAAAGATAAGCCTTCCCCACCCTGACCCTCGCCAACTCTTCTGTAATGCATTGATGTTGTCTGCTTGCAAGGTGCTTAGGAAATGTCCATCCTCCTTGGCATTTAAAGGCAGCTGGTTCCAGTGGCCCGGGAGGTTTCACAACGCTAAGCTAGTTACAGATGGACCAATATGCACCTGGACCCAGGTACAACAGGACCCAGGAGTGAGGAAGGCTGAGGTTTCAGAGTTCAGAATGAGACAGAATCTCAGTTTGCTACTTTTATCAGTTTGTGACCTTGGGGAAATTACTTCTCTAGCCAATTTCCTTATTTGTTTAAAAAAGAAATTTATAGAGTTGTGAAAAGTAGAAATGAGTGTGTGCATCAAGCCTGATTCGTACCATGCATTCAATATGTTGTTGTCTTCCTTACTAATAGTGACTGTAACACTCAAACTTGTGTCTTTGAGCAGATTTGGGTTGTTGAGTGTTTGTATCTAACTTATCAGTTTGTCATGGTGTGAATTCCATTCGCATGCCTGAGAAATGAAAATGCCATCCTCTCCAAGAAGCTCTTTGTGTGGACACACTCAGGGTTTGGGTAGCATGTTAAATATAAAATCTCCTTCCCACCCCAGATTTGCCCACTTTCCATTCATTTTGGAATCTTACTAAATGTTTCATTTCGCAACACATCATAAAATGGCCAACTTGTTGGTACAGAGTTCTACATGTTAGAATTCTTGTCCTCCTATCTTTGTATCTCTTAGTCACTTTGGTGAGCCATATGGCTTGGTGATAAATCATTTTGTAAACTCATATAGATTGCCAGTTGAAATAAAACCCAACATCTATCTAAATTCCTGAGACATACATAATCACAGTACAGTAGCTTTCAATCTATAATTTTGCGAATCTTTCTTCTGAGTTTTTAAGCTAAAGAACAGCATTGTGAGAAAATTGTAATTATAGCAAGTACCATGAAACAAATGCCATTGTCATTAAAAGTTGATTGTGTAGTTCATTTTAAATGCCAGATTGTTGGCCATGTCCCTTAATATGTGAGGCCACAAAGTCCCAGTTCTATAAAGAAATGAGGAAAATCTTCAGCTTTCAACATAACATGCTTCTGCCCAAAATGCTGTGCCTGAAAGATGATAGGTCTGTACAGAAAAAGAGACCACATAAGTGAAGTCAACCTATATGCTCTGTATTAGTAAGAGACCAGCAGCTTGTATCAGAAACCACTCTGTAGAATGAATTGAGCCTATGTCAGTATGCATCGAAGCCTTCCAGCACTACAATCATTATGAATTAATCTTAATTAACCTCCTGGAAACTGGGACCATTTCTTAAGTACACCTTGCTAATACATCATCTCAAATTGCATCCATGTGACATTACCTAGACAATACTGAAACAGCAAGGAGGTGCTAAATCTCACACTGACTGGTATTGTCTTTCTCACATACACACAGACCCCAAATCCAAACCAGAGAGAGAAAGATTGTGGTTTCTGGATCCCAGGGTGCCACAATGCTCAGAAATCTTTATTCTTCTTGGGAATTCTTGCTTCTGGGTTCTAAGAATCCTAGGCTTAACCAGAGTGACATGGCTAAGGAGAAATGCAAATTGAAGTCCACATGCTGCATGCACTGGGTGTGCAAAGAGGACCTGGCAGAGATAAATGACCTGCCAGGGGCAGAGGCAGCTGGATGTACCTTCCATTTCCTCATTTGCAAAATGGAAGGCTCTCGACAGCCTATTTGGTGACATAGTAAATGTGAAAGTACTTTATAAATTGTGAACTATGAGCTGAAATGAAGAATTCCTTTTCTCTGGTCCTCAGCCCTTTCTGGTCCTGCATGTAACCAGCAACCCTCACCCCTTCCCATCAAGATAAAGAGCAGAATTAAGTAGTCAGTTAAGCAAGAGATAGAACGAGAGCCTCTCCAACCTCTGTGTTCCATCCCAGCCTCCCCACAGCACCCATAACTTGCTATTTTATTAACTTTGAGATGGATTTAGTGCTTCACATGGCTCCTGTTCTGCCATGGGAGGGGAAGCACATACTAACTGAGAGGATAATTATTCATGGAAAATATTTTTCTTGTTCTTTTTTATAAAATGCCTCAGGAAGGAGAAAATGAACAAACAGAAACATTCAATACACTGCTTTCTCCAAGCCTGTGATCAGAAAAAGCACATGAGAAATAAAAGGGCCTCTCCCCTCTGTTTTCTCTCCTTCTACCTTCTGCCAAGCAAAGCAGGGTGCTCTGATCAGCATGGGGACCCCTCCCACCATGGGGCAAATCAGGCCTCTTGCATGGAAGTGCTAGAAGGGCTAAACCAAATCATCATGCATCTGTAGTCTCTCCAGAGGGGTCTGCAGAGTGCTGAACTGTTAGTGCTTGCTGTGCGCAGCTCTTTCACAAGCAGGGCAGCCTGCCTGGATTTCAGTCATTTGTAAAGTCAAAAGGGTTGAACAAGGCAGAGAATCTTTATGTACAGAAATCTCTCCTCTCTGACATGGCATATTTTTATATAAGGGATGAGGAGACCCAAAGTAAAACAGGGAGCCTTCCTTGACCTCAATTCCAAGCATCCAGAGACCAACCTAGATGACCAACCCAGTGGGCTCAGTCAGCCATTCCTTACGCAGAAAGAGAGTGACAGCCCCACCACCAGTCCCACTGTGATCTATGGCCTGTGAGTCCTGTTCATTACTGAAATTGCCATTTGGGGTTGTCCCCTTCTTGCTTTTATCCGTGCTAGACGAGTGAAGAAGAACAAGAGGTAGAGGAGGAAGAGGAGGACCTGGAAGAAGATAGGAAATCCATAAAAGAAGAGGAGACTGAAGTGCCCAAGTCCCCGGAGCCACCGCCAGTCCCTGCTCTGGCTCCTGCTGAGGGACCACCCCTGCAGGCCCTTGGCCAGCCCTCGGGCTCCTTCGTCTGTGAAATGCCCAACTGTGGGGCTGTAAGTGCTTGTGTTGTTCGGGGTGCTGGGATGAGTGAGGGCCATGCAGCTGTGCCTAGCTCTAAGAGATGACACGTTTTCAAAAGGCTGAACTTTCAGCAATGGAAGTTTGGCAACAGTCACTCTATATGGCCACCCCTTTCCAATTCATTGGCCACTAAAGATATACAGTGTGCATTCTGTGACAAGCATGATGCTGCATGCTAAAGGACATAAAGAAGGTCCCAAAAGCTGGGTGTGGTGGTGCACATCTGTAATCTGAGCACTCGGGAGGCTGAGGCAGGAGGATCACAAGTTTGAGCACAGCCCAGGCTACATATGGAGACCCTGTCTCAAAAAAAGAACGAAAGAAAAGGTCCCTGCGCGTAGGAAGTGTGTGGTTCAGATCTCCAAAGTGAGCTTTGGCTTCCAAAACTGCTCCATTTTTTCTCGTGCCTCTGCACCTGCGCTGTGTGTCACTCAAGGTTGTGCCCTGCCAACATGCATTTAAATGTGCTAGGGGAGCACACAGGGCCATCCTTAAAGTATGACATAATTATTTGTCCCCAGGGCCTGAAGAAATTTTTACCTAGAAGGTCATATTACATAAAGTGTTACTAATTCAAATGTCATTAATTTGACATTTGAGAAAGTTGATACAAACATTTAACTAAAGTTTGTCTTTGTACTCTGTGTGGGCGGAAGTAAACTAATCATGTAAACAGTCAGAAAGTGAGTCTGTGTAACCACTCAGTCTCACTCTCAGCACTAAAGGAAGCCCTTACAGAATCTGTCCTCTGAGGACTGCAGGTGTGGCTCAAGTGGTAGAGTGAAAGGAAACCCTGAGCCCAGTTCCACAGAATCTGTCCTGCCTGAAAGGGTCTGTTTTGAATTTTAAGAGTTTTCAAGGTCTCTTACTATGGGCTGTCAGTATTCCACCTGACCCTACTTGTCTGAATTGGTGAGCTTTTCCCAAATCAGGTTTCTTAAAGCCGGGCACACCTGTGTAGACAAGCTATAGAAGTATTACTCCCAGAATAAGAATGCCACTCCCAGGGCCTGGGATGTAGCTCCATGGTAAGTTATCTATGCATGAGGCCCTGGGTTCAGTCCCCAACATTGGGGAAAGAAAAAAAAAAAAAAAGAATGCTACTGCCTTCACAAGAAGCCCCACTGTGTCAAGTTAGTGCTCTTGTCTTTGTCTAATACACAGTTTTTGAATACTGCTTATTGAGTCTGTCATTTAGATGAAGAAAGCAACAAGCTTTAAAATATTTATATCCTAAAGCAGAAATTCATTTGATTTACATTTAGGAAAAAAATGAAAAAGCTTTAAAAAAAAAAAAAGCTATATCCATTTTGCAGTAGCTTTGAAAAGGCCATAAGAAATTGTGGCTTGTTTCTGTCGTGGGTATTTGATGGCATGTCCTCTTCATTCCATCACTGCCGTGCTGCACAGAATGCTTCAGTACAGTGATGATTAAGATGTGATTTTAAATGACAATATTTCTTGGTGAATTTGTTCAGAAATTGGATGCTTTCTCGATTCGTAGTATTAATGTACAGTAAATTTTTCAGAGTGGAAAGTCATCTTTTACTTTGCCCGATCAGGAATGCTCAGCAAGACAGATATTCTTAATGACTTTAAAAATATCACAAGGAGAAAAGCATGCTGCTTTTATTCCTTGTCTAACAGTGGAGGCTAGAGGTTGCTAAATCAGTTACAATTTTTTTTTCTGTGCAAAACAGTAAACAGGGCTCATAACTGAACCCAGAGTAGCTCCTCAGCTTAACAAGCTGGAATTTGGGGCCCTTGGGATTTCAGGGGTGTGGATTGTATCCCTTATCACAGTGGTTCTGAACAAGGGGTAATTTGTTCCCTCAAGAATGTTTGGTGGACATTTTTGTCAGGACCGGGAAGGTTCCACTGGCATCTGGTAGGTGGAGGCCAGAGAGGCTGCTAAACCTCTTGTACTGCACAGTAGAGACCCACTGCAAAGAGTCATGCAGCCTCAGATGTCCACAGGGCTGAGGCTCAGAAACCTTGCTTTGTGCAATATTTGAAACATTGCCCAGATCCTTCTCCTTTGTCTCATCTGCTATTAAAATTTGGGATCTGAAACATTGCCTCAATAATACCCTGTTGGGCTAGAGATGTAGCTCAATGATAGAGTGCCTGTGTGGCACGCGTGAGGCCCTGGGTTCCAATCCCCAGCACTGCAAAAAACAACAACAAAAAGTGGAGCACATAAGTGGCAGAGTGCCGCCAAAATCAAAGAAAAAAAAAAGTGAACCAATGGGCTAGTGATTGAGGTTGTCCAAACATGTAGAATATGTCACACACCTAATCATTGTCTCCAAACTGTGTTTCTTGGGGTTCCAGGGCTTCCCGAAGGAAGAGGGAGCTGAGTAAACAGGCTGAATTCTGGGCGACTGTCTCTATTTCAGCCAGGCTTTTAACTTGAGATTTGAGTAGGACCAAATCCATTGTGAATGAAAAGAGAGGGAATTTATTTTCCAGCTTTAAAATGAGGTTGAAAGTTGGTCCAACCCCCTCATTTTGCAGATGGAAAAAAATAAGGTGTGCAAAATGCAAATGGCCTAACAGCCTCCCTTTTACTTACGACAGAGCTGGAGCCAGCTCCTGACTTCAAGATGGTACATTTGTCCTCGATACTGTGCCACAATGCCTCTTGTCTTCAGGTTATTACAATGACGAGGGTTTTTAATTGGCACAACATTTGTGGTTTGTGATGTTTGAGTTTTACAAGGTGACATAGGCCCAGTGTTTGCTATATGACCTCTTGTGCCTGTTGTTAGACACTGTTTCATGTATCACATGTTTTACCTTTGAGTAACTAATAACCCTAATTTCCTTTTCAGGACTGTAGATGTCATGTCACTCCCTTTCTTCCCCAGGTGTTCAGCTCTCGACAGGCACTGAATGGCCACGCCCGCATCCACGGTGGCACCAACCAGGTGACCAAGACCCGAAGTGCTCTCCCCTCTGGGAAACAGAAACCTGGAGGTGCCCAGAGTGGGTACTGCTCAGTGAAGAGTTCACCCTCGCACAGTACCACCAGTGGAGAGACAGACCCCACCACCATCTTCCCCTGCAAGGAGTGTGGCAAGTAGGTGGACTTGAACCAGGGACTGACTCCAAGATGGTGGCAGATAATTGCTTGGTGGGGGCCAGACTGAGACAGTCTGAGGTTTCTTCAGCAAGAGAAAGAACCCAGACTCGCAGAACTCTTCCCATATCATCCTTGAGGTCTGCAAGGTGGACCTTCCCTCTGGCTTAGAATATAGCCATTCTGGCATCCTACAACCTGACGGGATGTGTCTCTTCAGAGAACGAACAGTGACAAAACTTCATTCCTTTCCAAAAACTGGTGGTGGCACTCCAGATTCTAATTCTCCCAGACATACTTTCTGCATCCCTACTGAGTGTTTTGAGAAATGGCTCTAGAATCAGGAACTCTCTATAGCAAAACTGACCCAAACATGGCACCACTACCACTGTAGCTCACGCCTATGCCCAGGGCAGAATCACTAATCAATTACCACACTCTTTGCTGTCACATTAAGATAAGGCTTTTTATCCTATACTTTAATCTGGCACAGCTAGTTGGTTAGAGATGATACAGAAGATAAAACCTATTTGTCGTCCCTGTCCTTTCAGATATAATTTTAAACAACTAAGGGGAACACTGGCAGTCTGTAGTAATAGTAACAGCTAACATTTACTGAGCACTTAGTCTGTTACGTACTTCATATGCATGGACTCATTTGCTCCTCACTCAGAGTCTCCTGCTGATGTGGATACCATCTTTATCCTTGCTTTACAAAGAAAGTGGCCTGCCCCAGAAAAGAGCAGAGCTGAGCTTTGAACACAGCTTTGTCCAAATGCAAGATTCCTGGCACTGCTCTGTTTTTTGCTTTGCTTTGTTTACTTACTTTAGAAATGAAATATAACTGATGGTAAGATGCATGGCTCCTTCCCATGGAATTTCAGGAGAGAATTCCAGCTTTCTTCTTAGCGAGTCTGCTTAACCTGAAGGCTATTATATGGTCATGGGTGACTTCTGTTAGGAGCCTTTCTGAGTCTCTCTTCCCATAACCTCCAGTGCCTCACACATGCCAGGAAGCTTACCTGGAGAGATGCCAACCAGGTGGTTGCTGCAACTGCCCAGGAAAATGCCCAGTTACCTAAACAAGGCCAACTGAGACCTCTGCTTCCACATCCTGGTAGAATATATCAGGTGACTTAGTAGCAACTGCCATTGAGCAGGTCCTCACTGTTTGCCTGGCACTGCTTTAAGGATGTTTTTACATGTAATGATTCATTTACTCTTTTTTTTTTTTTTGGTGGGACTGGAGTTTGAACTCGGGGCTTCAGCATTGCTAGGCAGGTACTTTACTACTTGAGCCATACCTCCAGCCATAATTTACCCTTTAGAATAGCCTTATGAAGCATATGCTTTCAGTAGCTTTTTTGCAAAGTAGAAACTGAGGCATGAAAAGGATATGCCAGGTAGGACTCAATGCACGTAGGCTGGGCAGGCCTCGTGCTATTAGCAGCTGGCCAGGCCCTGCTGCCTGTGAGTAAACCTACCTCCACTTGGGGGCACCCACCACTCACAATAGCACTCTTTCCCTCCAGGAAGCTCGAGGGTGGGAGAGATGGGTTTAGGTGTTGGTCTCCTCCTGTGCGTTTGGCGATCTTTCAGAGCCTAGACATGACATTATCTTCCATAACCGCCCAGGACACACTGAGGAAACCACAGAAGCAGTGAGTCCCCAGGTTGATCATTACCTTTGAGTAATGATGGGACACCCTGAGCTCAGCTCTCTCCCACCTGCTGTCCTAGAGTGAAAGCGTAGGGGCGTCTGAGACCTTGCCAGTTTTTTCTGAAAGGAACCGAAGCCTTCCCCTCAGTCAGCTCAAACAGTCTATAGCTTCTTACTCCACCAGGTGGAGACAAAGGACATCTCAACAAATAAAAATTCATACAGGTTGATGATACCTAATCTGAAAATCCAAAATCAGCAATGCTCCAAAATCCAAACATTTTTGACCAACATGACGCCCTAAGTAGAAAACACCATACTATGAAACTTTGTTTCATGTACAAAATTATTAAATGGTATCGTATAAAATTACCTTTAGGCCGTGTGTATAATGAAAGCCATATACACCTAGGTCCCATCCCCAAGATACCTCATTGTGTATATGCAAAAATTCCAAAGTCTGAATCACTTCTGGTCCCAGTATTTTGGTAAGAGATGCTCAACCTAAGTTTCATGCTTCCTGCCTTTCAATGGCATGTATTAAATATTTTTCTTGACTTGTTTTTATGTTGTTGGGATTTTTTTTTTTTTTTTTACCAGAAGTCTAGTTAAGAGTTCATGGAAAATAGAAATGTTTTCTGAGATTTTCCAGACTAGGAATAGCATAAGACAAATGTTGGGCTGGGGTGTAGCTCCATAATAGGGCACTTGCCTATCATGTTCAACGTCCTGGGTTCAATTCCCAGTACTGGAAAAACAAACAGATAGATTGTAATAGAATGCTTGTTTTAGCTACTGAAATTATGTTTGTAACATTAAACAGTTTTCCAAATGTCTAGATGAAATAAATGAATCGTTTTTGATTTGATGCAGGTTTTTTGGAGTGCCTGCCTAGCAAGCATGAGACCCTGAATTCAAACCCCAGTACATACAAAACAAAACCTGACTTCTTTTTCCCTTATGAGCTGAAGAGTGAATATTGAGTTTTTATGCCACCCCTCTCCTTTCCATAAACACACCTAGAATAACTTTTCTGAAAATGTAGTAAATATGTGGTCCAGATAGTAAATATGTGGAGCTCTGCAGACCAGGCCCACACTGTCTCTGATACTCAGCTCTGCCCTTTTAGCACAAAAGCAGCCAGAGACAATGCACAAACACAGACATGGCTGAGCTCCAGTTAGCTTTGTTTACAAAGAACAGGCTGGATTTGCCTCACAGCCCATGGTTTGCAGACCTCTGGTATAAAGAAGTAAATCCCCAAATATGCTACCTTTTTATTCCAGGGTTTTTGAACCACATTGATATTTTGCATCTAATAATTCCTTGTTTGGGAAAGAGAGGCTATCTTCTGCCAAATAGGATGTGTAGGAGCTTCCCTGGCCTCTACCCAGTCAATGCCAGAAGAACACCTCCCACACAGTTTTGACAAACAGAAAAGTCTCCAAACATGCCAGCTCCACACAGTCATCCCCAGCTGAGACCCACCTTTACTCGAAGACTAACAGTAGGAAATTATGTCAATGTAATGATGACAGAGTGGTCTCCAGTGAGAGGAGTGCTGGACATGGCTCAGAAATCACAATAAAGACAAGAGAGGCCACTGGAATTGGCCACACTGGGGCTACTGGTGATGTTGAGAAAGCCAATCAGAAGTGGAGGGGAGAAATTGAGTCAGATTGGAGGGTGTGGAGGAGAGAAAAGGAGATGGCCAAGTACATTGGATAGATCCTTCAAGAAGCCTGAGTGCAGAAGAACAGGCCACAGGCCAGGGATGGATGATGTGTTGTTTTATCATGTGGACTGTTAGCTTGTTAGCAGAATTCACGTGACAGGCCACCATGGGAGGAGGTCCTAGAACTCCTGGAAGACTTCAGCCTCCACCTCCGTTCCCTGTAGGACACCAAGATTTCCAAGAACTCAGGTCTTGTCAATTTCACGTGCTGCTTTTCTTCCTTTTCAGGGTTTTCTTCAAGATCAAAAGTCGAAACGCGCACATGAAAACTCACAGGCAGCAGGAAGAGCAGCAGAGGCAGAAGGCTCAGAAGGCAGCTTTTGCAGCGGAAATGGCAGCCACCATCGAGAGGACTACAGGGCCGGTGGGGGCACCAGGGCTGCTGCCCCTGGACCAGCTGAGTCTGATCAAACCCATCAAGGATGTGGACATCCTCGATGACGACGTTGTCCAGCAGTTAGGAGGTGTCATGGAAGAGTCTGAGGTTGTGGACACCGACCTTCTTTTGGATGACCAAGATTCAGTTTTACTTCAGGGTGACACAGAACTATAAAGCCCTGTTGTCACATAGAGACAGAACCCACAGCCTCCATCTTCATTAATCAGGAAACCTGGACTGCCTGCTTGTTTTGTAACCCTTTTAAACTATCTGTTTAAAAAGTGGTTGTTTTATTCAGGTTTAGAAAATAATCCAGTTTCATTTCCTCTTAGCTTTTTAAAATTGTTTTTGTGGGGAGTTTGGGGGGATAGATAATTGGCACAATTACCTTTAAGAGGTGTTTCATCTGGGCTACATTCTCATGAAGTCATTCCCAGGGAATGAACCTGACATTCAGTTCCATTGCTTTCAGCCGTCCTGGTTGCCTTCTGTCCCTAAGCTTTCTGTGACTGTGCGTGTGTGCACACGTGTGTGTGTGTGTGTGTGTGTGTGTGTGTGTGTGTGTGTGTGAAGCAGGCTTCTCTCTTCATGCTGGGACCTTGGGTCATGTTTTTCCACCGAGAATTATTTTTATTCTATTCTGATCTGCCAGGAAGTATTCTTTTTTTCTTAAAAAATATAGATCAGAAGAGCCTATTCTTTTTGGCAACACTGTTCACGGTCAGTGGAGTTCTGAAAATACTTTGTGCCACTTGGAAGTACTGTGAAACCTCTCCCTGGGATTTTGCTGTACCTCATGTCTGCTAGACTGAAGTTACCTAGATACTAGCTATGAGCAATAGGGTTTTTTTTTAACACATAGCCATAGCAAATAGGAGGGGAAGTGCATTGAAGGCAACACAAATGTGTTCAGATACACTTTAGCTACAATGTTTGCATTCAAACAATGAATGTATTTCTTTCAAGTTACTTACCAAAGCATTTCTAGACTTGGCTATGCTACATGACTTTGCTCTGCCTCCTTCTGCCCCTGTCAGTAGGGTTGCTGTTTGTACTTGAAGGCAATAAACCTGTAATCTTTCAAAAATGTCATCACCCAGGGTTTGTGCGGACTCAAACTGACCCATCCCCACTGTCAGTGCAAAAGTCGCGGCCCCAGTTCAGAGAGGAACTCTGCTCCTCTTGGCTCCCTTCAGAGTTAGTACTGCGTGACCTCTGGGGTAGATCTTTGCAGGCCTCATCTCTCTTAGGTAGAGGTAAGTGTGGCTGTCGTACTGGACCACTGGGCTGGCACATTAATTGCTTGACATTAGACTTTTAGCAGTGTGGGAGCAGAACTAAACATCCTTTGTGTTCCAGTCCACAAAGCATTTAGCACACTCCCATGAGGGGACCAGCCGTGGCCCGCCACAGCCCCACGCAGGCAGGATGTCCGAATCTCAGAAAGGCCATGGACAGAAGGAAAACACGAAAATGCTTTCTATTTCCATTGCTTGTTTTCAGAGATGTCTTGGAGGTTTCCTTCATCTTTTCTATATGGGAAAAAAAGTGTTTTGTTTGCTGCCATTTCAACAGGTTGTTCTATGTTGTATTTCAGCAGTTTTAAGTTAGAGATTACCTGAGCTTTGTGCATCAGATCGTGACACAGCTGTCACACAACCACTCCAACTGTCATGACACTGGCTGATGCAGAGTAACTACGTCCCTCCACTTAGCAGTGTCTGAGGGGGAGTCTGGAATGGTTCTGCCACATGGAGGCTCATCTACAAAAGAAGCAAATACTCAGAAAAATCTTTATAAAGCAAATGTATTCCTTCTGCTTGGACATTTGCCAGATGATCCAGCTTTAACCATTAGAAATAAACTGTGTGGCTACAGCAAAAATATAATGCAAGATTTAATTTTAATTTTCCATGCAATATAGCATAAGGATTTTTGACTTGAAATAACCAAAGAACTCCTCTTTCACGAGACAGTTCAGATACCTGAATTCCTATTTCTTTACTCTCAGCTGAAAAAATTGACTTCCTAGTAAAATACTGCACTTCTTTCTTTTCTTGAACTGGTCTGCCTGCATGTACGTGTTGTGTTTTAGCTTCCCCTCCCCCAGCCCGCCCCAAAGAACTTTTCTTCCTAATGGTTAATGTCTTCAACATGGTTGCTGTTTACTATCAGATGGTTTTTCATTAGTGAATTTAGACCTCTTTGAGAAAGCTTGTATATAAAAAGTTAACAGATCTATTTTATGGAAAAACCCATCTTATTTTCAAATATATTTAACTGCTGTTATATTTTATTAGAGGAAGGTTGTAAATATTTTCTAGGAGTTCTATTGTAAAGAAAAGTATTTTTGAAAAAAATTAATGTAATAAAAATGAAAACATTTTTAAATAGTGGTTGTGATTGCTTCCTGTTCTGGCTTTGTTATGTTCCCTCTGCAGCCAGTGACTTGCATGCCTTCCATATCAGGATGTAATTTATTCAGGTTTGCACTATTATAAGTTGACATCATAATATCTAGTGTGCTCAACTGTATTTTCCCGGAATGCAGGTCCCTTGGTCCATATCAAAGCACTATGTATAGCATATTCATAATTTTTTCTTTTGTAATGTGTGTATTTTTAATAAGGATTTTATGTAACATTTTGGCAAAAAAAGGACAGTATTTTCTAGTGAATTTTATAATAACATTTTGCTAAAAATGTTTCTTCCTAGGTCAGTTTTTGTTAAGGTGAATCAAAAGTCTTATTTTACCAGGGATTTTAAAAAAGTTTGAAGCTTGAAAGCAAAGTTATATTTAAACATCATATGTAACAAATAAAGATGTTTTATAGACTTGTCCTTAAAAAGGTGCATTCCTTAAATTAAAAAAAAAAAAAAAAACTAGGGCATTCTAGATTGTTTCCTGTCCTGAGTGTTAAGATTTTTTTTAATGTTCACAATACTTTTTCAGGAAGAAAACCAGGAGAATACTACTTAGGTTCCTCACTAGCCTTCTCAGAAATTTATTACGGTCCTTATAGGTGGGCATTCATCAAATAGAAATGTAACCAAATACACACTGTCATATTTATTTGTGAAACCCTGATTCAATATTGCATCAGCTGCTCTGAAAATAAAATATTATCTTTTTGAGTTTCATCTGGCTTAAATATTCCTTCTTTCTAGCCACTGAGATGCCTTCTCAATGCTGGATCAATGCTAATTAGTATTGCCTGTTGGTTGGTTTCTGTGGATCACAGGTTTGGAGATCTGCTGGTCAGATTTAATTCTCATTAAAGTGTCCCCACCTCCAGAAATTAGACTGTGCATTTCTGCTCCTCAAGCAGTGAATGAGCCACTTGCAGGGTGGCACTTTCTAAACCATGTGACTAGGCTCACTATTATCTATAGGTCCCTTACCATAAATACTCCATCACGTCATATCTACCCTGATTGATCTGCACCTTAAATCTGGATTTCCACATTTTAATGTGCATTTGCTTTTTAATGGTCAATACCAAACAAAATTCTATACAAAATTCTGGATTTTGTATAGAATTTTCCCTAAATTCTGGGCTTTATAGAGAATGTTCCCTAAGTGGTGCATTCCTATTCAAGACCTTGATCTATGTTCTCTGGCTTTCTACTTTAATTTTAGACCAGCCTATGTCAAGTAAAACAGCTATTCTAGAAGCAGTGTGTATTTAGCCAGTGTTACAAATTTAAAGTCTGTGTCTCAGGACTAAGGTGTCCAATATGAAGACTTTTTTCCTACTGTTCTACTTATTCATTCATTCTCAGTCCTCATGAGCAACCCTTTACCAGGCACTATTCAATACTGTATTATACATGGGGCAGGTGTGTGTGTGTGTATAAAGATGGCTATATATTCCTTCACTTCAAGGAATTCAAGACCTGTACAGAACAAATGGGGGCCTGAAAACTGATCCAGTGCCACCACTGGGAAGAGCAAAGTCAGGCTTTATTAATATTCTGAACTCCCTCATCATCAACCACATCCACAGCAATTTGTAGCAAATGGTCAGCAACTATTTTACTGACCTCTAGTTCTCTAGGTTTGGAGAGAGATTTATCTAAAGTCAATTCTGAATTCCATGAAGTTCCAGTCTACTTTCCTCAGCTACAATCAATCAACTGAGATGTATGTGTTCTAGGAAGCCTTATGTTGACATTAGCAAAACATACACAGGAAGACAGTTTAAGAAACTGAATAACATTTTCCTAAGAGAACTATAAGTGATCTTTGGATCACATACCCCTACATAAAAGAGCCATAAAAGGACTGATTGTCTTCTTTATGTAAAAGAGAGAATACAATGGAAATGGCTGTCTTTAAAAACAACTGAGGCAGTCAACTTAGAAACATTTGTTGTACCTGCTTTTATTCTTCTAAGATATAAAGCAAGGCACTCTTATGTCATTGGCCTCCTACTCATCTCCATTGGGTCAGATGTTTGAAAGTTTAGGCTGTAGGAAAGAGACCCACGATGGATAGACTGAACTTCAGAACACTGTCCAAGCCCACACACCATGCCAAAGAGCCTTGTCCAAAGCCCTACTGGTGGAAAAAATTGGCTTTTCCCTTCACAGTGATTGCCACCTTGCCCTCAAGGCACCTGACCCAAAACCAGTAGGTTAATAAGCTATTTGGTATGGCTTAGTTGAGGAAGATGAGGGGAGCAAATCAAATCCCCATATTTGAGAGTATGGATGGAAAACTTAATGAGCTAAAGGCAGCAAGCAGGGCCACATGCAAGACAGAGTCCTGAGAGAACAGAAACTACTTGTTAGCAGAGAAAAACCCATGCACGGGCCTCAGAAGGACAGAAAGGACACCAGTCCCGAAGGCTGTGTGAAAAACACTTTTCCAGTTCCAAGAGCAATTCAGGCCACCATATCTTTAAAAATAAATCGCTTCTCTTTTCGGTGTGGGGTGTGATGGAGAGTGAGTATCTCCATTCCTTTCACTTGAAAGAGATAAATAGAACTACACCTCATCATTGAATTAGAACCAGCCCACTACAGGGACAAAAAAGGAACTAAGCTAGAATTTTGAAGGGAGTTACTGGTTCAGCCACAACAAACTTACCATATGACCTTGCATGAGTGGTTTCATCTCTGAGCCTCTTTAAATTAGGAAATAAAATTAGGATAAAATTCATGTCTAGAGTTTTCCATTATGCAAGGAAGCATATATGTGAAAGCACTTTGAAAAACTAAAGCTTAGAAGTTTGCACAAACTGAAGAAATTTTTATTACAGTGAACCCAATTATAAGCTGTTTTAATTGGAATTAAACTATGGTGGACATTACTAACCTGACACAATAACCTTTGGTTTGTTGAAGTAAAGACAGCCACCATTGCAAAGTCTCAAGTACTAGAGTAACATAAGAAAAACATTCAAGTATATCAGTATGACAGTGATACACAAGACAGCTAAGCACAGATATTTCAATTGGTGTGGAGAAGAAAGGTTAAGTTTAAAGAACATAACTAGAAGGCTATTGCAAAACAGTAAAGGGTGAGGATTTGGATTCAATGGTAGTGGTAGATTTTTTTTTTCAAGCATGTGTTTTGTTATGTTTGTCTCCCAAAGAAACAGAATCCCACATAAGACAAACATGATTTGAAGGGGAAAACACTGATGGAACTAGATATGGGCTGAAGCAATTTTATCCAGACTAAGTTGCAATCAAGCGGCCCCCAAAACTCAAGGAATCACGTCTCTATGGTTGTTCCTGTGCCGGAACACGACGACACTCTCTCCTTTCGTTCAACTCTATGGTCTAAGGACGCCGCTGTGACCCCGGAAGCGACTCTGGGAGGTCAGGACGGCAAGATGGCGGCTCGGGCAGCGTTTGGAGCTGGGTGCCGGCACCTCTGGAAGGTGGGCTGGGAAGACTGGGCAGGCTGACGGGGCCAGTTGGTGCTAAGTGTCGCTGCCACACACCGTTCGGCTCATTAGGAGTCTCCCGCCATGTTTATTTATTGCTCACTTGTTTGCAGGAAGGTGACGAGAAAGGGGCTGGTTTTTATCTCTAATCCTCTCGTGGGATTAAACCGGGTAAACACAGCAATAAGAATTAAAAAAAAAAGAACCAAAACCCTGAGGTCCAGAGAAAACCGGAAGCTAGGGGCTGAGCTAGCTTTTGATGCCCTACACGTCCCACGAACTAACTTGCGAGGTCCCTTCGACCTCGGGGGTTCAGAGAGGCACAGGAGGACCTGGAGATGGCCAGATGTCCTCCACGCAGTTCTTCCAAAAAGCAGAAACTTACGCCGCGCTTCTCAGGCTTTTTGGGTTCAGGACACTTTGGAGATGAGTTTGAGGTTTTGGCGATCTGTATTTAGTTTTTTAGAAATTAATCGTTTGAATCTTTAAATATTCTCTTAAAAGTAAGCAATAAATTCTGCCCCGGGCCCCTGTGAGAGGCTGCGATGGGGAGAATTGCGGTTCGAGGCCAGCCCTGGCAAATAGTTCGCGAGACCCTATCCCCAAAATAACCAGAGCAAAGTGAGCTGGAGGAGTAATTCAAGTGCTAGAGCACCTGCGTTACAAGCATGAAGCCCTGAGTTCAAACCCCAATCCCACCAAACATAAATTCTTTGTTAACATAGTTAACATTTTTATGGAAAGCAAAGTTAGGAGTGGCACTGTTTTACACTTTGGCAAATCTCTTTACTATCTGGCTTAATAAAAGATGGCTGGATTCTCTATCTCTCTGCATTCAGTCCTTTGCTGTGTATCACATCCCATCCAACCTTGGGAAAACGTCACTGTACACTAGTGAGAGAATGAAGGTAGAAAGGTTTCAAATAATGTCTTAATGTTAAGAAAATAACTATTTTCCCAGGGCCACCGAAAGTGTCTTGGGGACTCACCAGAGGTCCTAGACCACACTTTGAGGACCAGTGTTCTTAAGAAAAATCAGATGACACCTGAGGTTGAAATTTAACTACTGTGACAAACTTAATCCAGAAAAACCTAGCATACACACAAATTCTCAAAAGAATTTTTTAAGAAGAAAATTTAAGAACTTCTTAAGGTTGATTTGTGGATGTAACACAGTACTTTAAAAAGGTGTGAGCTGGGCACCACTGGCTCATGCCTGTAATCCTAGTTACTCAGGAGGCAGAGATCCAGGAGGATTGCAGTTAGAAGCCTGCCCAGGCAAATAGTTTGCAAGACCCTATCTCAAAAATACCCAGAACAAAAAAGGGCTGACAGAGTGGCTCACTGGGTAAGAGCACCAGCCTCACAAGTATGAGGTCCTGAATTCAAACCCCAGTGCCACCAAAAAAAAACCAAACTTAAAGCAGAGGTCTATAGTGGGGGTAAAGGAGAATGAGGGAGGGGGTGAATTCAACTATGATATATTTGGTATATTGTAAGAACTTTTGTAAATGCCACAATGTACCCCCAGCACAATAAAAACAAACAAAAAAAAATGGTTTATAGAGGGAGGAGATGACTGGAAAGTATCATACTGCTTAGACCTGTGCTGCTTTTTGCACAGCTGAATTGTTAGGTCAGCGGCATGAATGTGGGGAGGAAGTTTTCTGTATGATTATATGTGAAGAATGACACGTAACTTTTACTACCTTATATTTATTGTGCCTGATTTCCTTTCTTTTTTTTTACCCCCCTCATGAGCCAAGGAAGATTATGGAAAGTTTTATTGCTTCCAACTTGAGTAAAGAAAGGAAGGACATTAAATTAAGATTAGGCTTTTAAAACATTGGTGACCCTTAGCTGTTTTAATTAAGCTTCACTTGTGCTAACTTTTTTTCTTTTTTTTTTTTGCGGTACAGCAGTTTGAATTCAGGGCCACCCACTTGCTAGGCAGGTGCTCTACCAGTTGAGCCACTTTGCCACCCCTTTCCTGTGTTGGACTTTTTCAAGATAGGGTCTCAGGAACTATTACCCCTGCCGGCCTTGAACCTGGATCCTCCCAAACTCTGCTTCCCAAGTAGCTAGGATTGCAGGTGTGAGCCACCAGTGCCTGGCTCATCTTCATTGTATTTTTAAGGATTCTGTTGTGCTTTCACTTAATAAGGTTATAGTTTAAAGTCTCAGGAAAGCTTAAAGGAAAAAGCAGGTAGATGGCAAAACTACATAGTATATGTAGTAAGTACCATTAAGTTTCCTAAAACAAGAAGGTTTTGTTCCACCAGGGGGAGTGCATAAGAAAGGACTTGGCAATGCTGACTACTGGAGCATGTGGCATAGTGGCTAATGGTGGGTGTACATGGCAGCACATACTGCACTTCACTTAAATTATAAGGTAGTTACCCCAGCCAAGCAAAGAGATACTTATGCTTAAAAAGATGTGTGAAAGCTTCAAAAGAAGGTAGTTGTTCCAACTGTTAATAGATACACTATACAGACTCACGATAGTTTTTATTGCTTAAAAATATTCAACCAAAGTAAATATTAAAATTAATCTGTAAACTATAATGGGATAATGAAGTTGCATGATTTTTTCTTGATGTCCACATTTAATTGCTTTTTAAATGTGAGAATTGAGTCCAGTGCTTTTTGAAATTGAAAGTGCTTTTTGATTTTCAGATCTCCCATTGTGCTCTTTTTATTAAATGAAATTAATTTAGTTATCCTAATGTCTTCATCTGAAGTAATGAGATACCTCTTTTAAAGTATTTAAAGTATTATGCATCTTTGGATTTTTAGTGGAGACTGAGGGCTTTGGGGATGAACTTTAATTCTAACACATGTCCCCTGCTTTTCTCAAGGGCTTGGGGAATTCGTCTACAAGCAGCTCTAAGAGCAGTATAACCAAATCTGGTGGCTTTCTTCTGTGAGTATACAATTGGATGTACTAAAGTGAAGTAGAAAATGGACTCTGGTGCTGTTTTACTTAGGTTTCTCTTTGTTTCCCCCCACATATAGCAGTACCAATATGAAGTGGGTACAGTTTTCAAACTTACACATTGATGTTCCAAAGGATTCGACCAAACCTACGGTATGTGTTCCCTATATCTTAGCTTAAGGAGCTATGTTAGCAGTAAGTTTTCCTTAATATTTCATTGGGGCTTGTTTCCCAAACACTTTATGAATAAAAAATGTCCTGAAATACTGGGAAGTGCATTGTACACGTTCTCCAGTGTCCCTGAGTGCTCACTGGTTAGCTTTCAGGGTATCAAGGTAAGTTCAAAGGAATAAATTATTTTCCCCAAGTGACTGTGGTAATGAGCAGTCCCTTGCCCTTAGCTCAGCATAATTGAGGAGTTAGGACAATTAGTGATGCAGAATACTTGACGTTACATTGTGGAAAAACATTTTTCTCGTAGCCTTCAAGTTTATTTTCGTTTTAAGTACTGAGCCTGGGCCTGACAATGCTTTGTTGTTCACAGTGAGAGAGCGTTAGCACAAATAATGGGAATTAGAAGAGGGTATGCAGCTTTATAGAAGCACTGTCCATAAGCCCAGTTGGTATTAGTAATTTTAAAAAACCTTCACAAATTCCAAATCCTTCCATTCCTGCCTTCAAAAATAACCTCTTTTGCCTGGTGCCATGGCTCACACCTGTATTCTTGCTACTCAGAAGGCAGAGATCAGGAGGATCACGGTTCAAAGCCAGCCTGGCAGATAGTTCGCGAGACCCTATCTTGAAAAAAATCCCAATACAAAAAAGGGCTGGTAGAGTGGCTCAAGGTGTAGGCCCTGAGTTCAAACCCTAATCTGCAAAATAATAATAATAATAATAACCCCTTTTTACAGCTTGGTGTGAATCCTTTTAGACATTTGTCCTATGTAATCATTTTATCCATGCACATACATTCCAAAATGGAATTATGTTATACATGGTGTACCACTGTTTATTTTTCAAGTAATAGTTACTGGATATATTTCCATTGACTGTACATATAAATGCTGGTCTCTAAATCAGATGCCTACAAGGGCCAGGCCTGTAAGAAAAGGTACAGGATGGGCGCAGTGGCACACTGTCTTTGAACTATTTACTCTAGATAACTTGTGGCCCTGTGGGAAATCAGACCTAGTGTCACCTGATGATCTGAATCTTCCAAGATGAACTGATACCCAGATTTTTGTGTGAAATCTCTAGATTTTTAATATACATAACATTCACAATATCTTTAAAACCCGCTGTAAGGGGGCTCGGAGTGTAACTCAGTGGTAGAGCACTTGCCTAGCATGCACAGAGTTCTGGGTTTGATCTCCAGCACCACAAAAAAAAATTAAAATTAAAACCCTGTAGGGATCAACCAGAACACATCTTAGTGTTATAATTTCCCTCTCTTGTTCCCCAAATTTTGACATAAGATAGTAGTATATTCTGTTTTTCCAACAACCCTATTTGGAGTAATTGAGAGTAGATGTCTAGCTCCCTGCCTATTAAGTACATCTCTCCAGTAATTTAACCCTGAGTCATTGTATTAGTAATATAATTTACTGGTTTAATGGGCGAATGAAATGAGGATAATTCACCTCTTGGAAGAAAGTCAGAAATGTCAAACCCATTATTTCTAAGGTCTTTAGGTATTAGGGTGGAAGAGGTAGAAGTTACTGGTACAGTCAGTGTCATAACATTTTAATTAGACATGAGTAATTTATGTATTAAGACGGACAAAACACACATGAATAAAGCCTAATAAAAAAGATGAATGGAAATGGCTTGCTTTGTGTGACAATTACAATGTTCAACAATTTATAAACACTTTAATTTGTGTTTTCTTTTTTTTTTCTTAAGAATGCTATGAGCTATAGCACAAGTATTGTTACCCTATTTTATATTTGAGGAAACTAAGGGGCAGTGAGATTATATGACTTGCCCATTGTCCCTCAGCTACAAGTAGAGTTTTAATTCTCAATCTAGATCTTCTGACAGATCCTTAAGTCCTTTCTGATTGTGAGTTTGGGACTCAATAACAATTAAGTTAGAACATTCTACTAGTAATTTTGTAGGTTGCCTTGAAAATCCTTTTGAGTCACACTATGTTAACAGATTCAAAGGGTCACTTTGCATGAATGTAGGTAGTTAAGCTAACAACATTAAGATATTTATTTCTTGGCATTTTTCTCCCCATTTATTAAACTCTGAGTCATTCAATCAGCAACACCACATTAAATTGCTACTTATAAGTATTAGAGTAACCACAACCAAACTTCTCTTTTTGATTTTAGATAACTGTTTCTGATGAACCAGACACATTATATAAACGCCTGTCAATTTTAGTAAAAGGCCATGATAAGGCTGTATTGGACAGTTATGAATATTTTGCCGTGCTTGCTGCTAAAGAACTTGGTATCTCTATTAAAGTGTAAGTATAACTTTTCCTAATCTGACCTGTTGGCTGCTTTAATATGGTCAACCAGGAAACTGATTCTGATCCTAGGTAGGTCTAAGCTTGTAAAATGGGATAGAAGTCATGATGGGTAGAGTCTAGGTTATTGTATGTTAACCTAAGCAGGAGCATCCATTCCTATGTACTGGCATTTTTAATGAGCAAGGAAAATGAAAGAAATCCTTTCTAAAAATTACATTGACATAAGGAGACCTAAGAAGTCTCAGTGTCTGGGATCTTCATGAGTCCGCATGTAGGGTAGGTGAATAGACACTCCTTGGAGACCCTTTGGAGATGATGGTCTCTAGCTGATGTGTTCATTGTTTCCAGTCTGCCTAAGAATTACCTGGGAATTCATGCACAAGTAAGGTGAGCTTCAAAAGGCCTTGGAGTCACTGTAGGATAAAGTAGAACTGCCTCCTTTGTCTTGTTACTTGCTCCTTCTGGCATTAAGTGGGACCCCTTTGGGGCCCATTCTGACCTTAAAACAAAAAACAGAAGACCATATTCTTTCGCAAAAGAGACTACTATGGTTTTGTAATTATTGATGTATCTATAAATTTTCCTAAAATAGCACACATACAGCAAACATTACAACTGTCTACCACAATGTTGCCACTCTTCACAATTGGAATATTTAGTTAATAAGGGACTCAGGGTGTAAAAGCATTAGGCACACGCATAGTTGCTTGCCAGTGCTTATTTTTGGGCCTGTGGGAAAAGGTTCATACTGGCCATCTGCAGTGTTTATTTTGGCCGGAGCTTTGTGACAGCAGTTGTTACCAATGACAGCCTTGACAAATGGTAGTTAATGCCATAATTGAGTGTGAGCCTGACCTACAAAATTATAGAATCATGCTTTGATATCAGTGACTCAGATTTTAACATCACCTAACATTAATTTCAGACATGAACCTCCAAGGAAAATAGAGCGATTTACTCTTCTCAAATCAGTGCATATTTTCAAGAAGCACAGAGTTCAGTACGAGATGAGGACGCTTTATAGATGCCTAGAGGTAAGATTACTTCAGCCAGTCAGGCATGTTTGAGATAGCCCAAAACAAACAAGCAAAAAAGAATAGATACGTTTTCTTTTCTTTTTTTTCTTTTTTTGAGAGACAGCCCAGGCAGGCCTCAAACTCCCATTCCTCTTGCCTCAGCTTCCCAAATACTAAGATTATAGGCATGCACCACCACCCAACTGAAGACATGGTCCTTACTCTTCAAGGAAAAAGAAAAAAAAAACCTGAGATTTTAATCCATCCATGTCTGACAGTATCATCTTGCTATAACATACAGAAAATCTTAAACTTTTATCTTACAATTAAGTCTTTTGTTTCATTTTGTCTTGAGTTGTTTTGTGAAACTTACAAGTCTACTGCTTTGATTCCATGCTGGCCAGCTGTGTTCCATGGGGCACTGGCTCTCAGGCAGCCATATCTGGAAAGAAAGGGGCTTTGGGGCCATGGGTCCCCTGTCTACTTCAAACAGACGATCTACACTTAGAACAGACTGCCATGTTTACAAAAAACAAAGAAACAAAAAAACTAAGTATTTCTGCTTTAGCAGCATAGCATGGAACATTTTCTTATTTGATATTTTAGTTAGAACGTCTAACTGGATGTACAGCAGATGTCTACTTGGAATATATTCAGCGAAACTTACCTGAAGGGGTTGCCATGGAAGTAACAAAGGTATGATTTGGATTTCTACCTCTTCGGGAATGACTGTATTGTTTTGGTATTATCATCTAGTCCTAGCCCAGCCAGTGGCAGAGAGGACCTGTAGTAAGCTGGGAGCAGAGTTGCCACAGAATTGGGGACTCCCCCTCCCTGTGTGACAAAATCCTGCCACTTCAGTCCAAGTCCCTTGCTGAGCCATCTGTGAGGTCTCCCTCCCTATTAGTTGTCTAAACTTAAGGACCACAATAAGTGGCTACACCTGGAGATCCCTGGGGATCAGTTTGATTATATGTATACCATCAAGTTCCCTTCTCTCCATTCTAAAACCCTATCCAAAGTTAAGGGGCATGAAGAAAGCAAAGTGAGGATTTGACAAATCAATAAATCCAGTTTGTAGCCAGAGTTCATTTAAGTCCTTATTATGTTATAGTTTTGTTTTGTTTCTATTTTTTAGACACAATTAAACAGTTACCAGAACACATTAAGGAGCCAATCTGGGCAACTGTACCAGAGGAAAAAGAAGAGAGCAAGTCATGACGCCACAGAGACACCACTTATGCCTGAATTGGAAATGAGCTGGGCCTGATGTTTCATTGTGCAGCTGACACAATTTTGAGTTCATCTAACTTCTCAGTTGAGAGCAGGAAATGGAACTTTAATGACAGTCTGGGCTGTAATGAGATAACCATTTTATGTGTTCTTTCATATATGTCGCTGTTTCAGTTCTGATGTTAAGAAATGTTAGCCAACTATTCTGAATACTCTGAACCAAGGGAGTCAAATTTATATTTTTGTTTTGTTCAATTATTAGTTTGTACTGATTTTAATTTATACTTGTTCATTCATTGGAAAATGAGTATTTGAAGTATTTTTCATAGACTTTTTTTTAAAGTTCCTAGAAGGGAACTTTGGTTAATTTAACACTGAAACTTTTGATCTTTACCTTCAGGTAGGCCACATGTACTACCTTGTGAGTGGCCAGCAAATCACCTAATTTAAGCATTATATTTCAGAAAGTGAATATACTTTGTAGCAGGTGACGCACATTTGTGACATGCACTAAACTCTTCTTGTAGCCCAAACTCTTATAAGACTGCCACCAAGAGTCACTATGATAGAATTTATGCTCTCAAGGAATTACTACCTGCATCATTTCATCCATCCACTGATTCATTCATTCAGAATCTTTTATTTGGGCCAGGCGCCCATGGCTCATCCCTGTAATCCTTGTTACACAAGAGGTACAGATGGAGAGGATTGAGGTTCAAAGCCAGCCTGGGAAAATAGTTCAAGATACCCTATCTCAAAAAAACCCATCACTAAAAAGGGCTGGTGGAGTGACTCAAGGTATAGGCCCTGAGTTCAAGCCCCAGTACCACACACACACACACACACACAAAAAGCCTTTAATTGGGTCTGGTGGAGTGGCTCAAGTGGTAGAGGTGCCTGCCTTGCAAGTGTGAAGCCCTTAGTTCAAACCCCAGTACTGCCAAAAAAAAAAAAAATAGTAAAATAGAGCTTTTATTTGATAAACTTTGCACTCAGCTCTGTAGGAAATACCAATAATCAAATAAAGAATAACTTTTAAACACTAAGAGGCATAAATTTCTATAAGTTCCTCACTGAGGGGCTGGGGGTGTGGCTCAGGTGGCTGCCTAGCAAGCATAAGACCCTAAGTTCAAGCCACAGTACCACAAAAAAAACCAAATCCTTACTGATACAAGGCCTCTTTCTTTGGGAAGATGTTACTCACTTTGTTTGGAGTTGTCTACTTTTCCATGACATTCAGTAGCACTTAAAGCCCAGAAAAAGGGAAGACTATGATGGATTGAAGCAATTGATACGGATGGCAACCGAAAGGCAGTGCTTCCTTTCTTATTTATACCAAAATCAGATCTGTCTCTTCACATCTTGGGGTACTTCTCACTTTTCACCTCCTTAAACTGGATCACTTAGCCTATTATCAGGAATCTGTGCTCTGAATACACTGCATATGTGTCAGACTTATATTACTGTCATTAACATGGTAAGAATTACAACCTGCCTTCAGCTTAGTTGTTGACTGGGTCACTCACAAATGCCTAAAGCATGCTTACCCCAAGTGTAAGCCTCAGGATTAAGAACTAGTCAAACAGGAGTAGATAACAGTGTCTAGCAAAGCAGCAAGTTGTGACACATTTTAGAAGAAATTATTCTTGCTTGGCACTGGTGGTATACCTGTAATTCTAGCTACTTAGGAGGCTAAGATTGAGAGGATCATGGTTCGAAGCCAACTTGGGCAAATAGTTTCTGAGACCCCCCCCCATCACCAAAATAACCAGAGCAAAATGGACTGGAGGTGTGGCTCAAGTGGTAGAGCGCCTGCTTCACAAGTGCAAAGCCCTGAGTTCAAACCCCAGTCCCACCAAAAAAGAAAAGAATTATTTACAGATCCACACATAAGCTTTTGGGGGATTCTTTTAAATAGACAATATAAATCACTGCATTAAGATTGTGTGTATACTCACTTCCAGTGGCTCTTCCAGGAACTCCTTCAAAGGTGTGTGCATCCATTTCCAGCTTAATCCATAAACCAGGTTGCTAAGCCTAGTACTTCAAATTATATATTAAAACCTTTTTTAAAATAAATGCACCCCTAAGCTACATAGCAAAAACTAGCAGTATTTTTCTTGGCAAAAGTATTTGACATGTTTGAAGCCTGTCTCTTGACATAAACAAGATAACTTGTCCTGTAAAAGGGTTTAGGTTTTGCTTGTTTGTTTTAAATTAGGTCTGAGTCAAGTTCATATTCCAAAAATGAGCATTAATACCCAGGTATCACTTCACATCCATACTACAGATTGGAGGTGGTGAGAGAATTGAATCTCATGGTAGAGTAAACCAGAAGGGAGGGAGGAGGGGAGGTTCTTTTTCATTCAGGTTTAGATTTAAGTTCACTGTTGATTTCTCTTAGGTAAAGCATGTTTTCTTCATATTAAGTATAATTGTGTTCTGATGTATTTAATGTTACTATCACTGCAAATCTCTGGTAAATGTTCAGTGCCAAGTTTCAGTTCTTTTATTTTTATTTTGTGTTTCAGTGTTCTTTTCAGTTCTTTCAAAGTGAGTGACATATATTCCTTTGGCCATTTAAACATACCATAGTAGATGTATAAAGCAACTACTTTAAACCACTGCTGTAGTTTATCAACATTTCTACTTGTCAGCAACCATTCCATGTTGTATTTAATTAGTTTTACTCCAATATTAATTGTAAGAGAGTAGGAAAAAACATGGACTTCCAAGTCAGACCTGTCAGGTCAGAGTTCAAACCCAGAAATAAATAAAAAGATTTTTTTTTAAACTTGTTCAAGCCCACAAATTGCTATAAACCTGAGCAAGGTACTTAGCCCTATCAGATCCTCAGTTTACTTTACTCATGAGTAAAATTCAGGAAACAGTACCTAATTACCAAGATCGAAGTGTTTAATTGGATAAAGCACCGTGTGCAGAGCTGGGCAGATAGTGGACGCTGGGTGACGCCTGAGATGCTGTGTGCTGCATGAACCAGCTGAGAAGACACAAGATTGTTGACCAGGAGGGACAGTATTTACCTTATGCGTAGCTGTGAAGTTTACTCTAGATGGAAAGTACGGGTAACGTGCTCATGATAGACACCATATGTCATGGGCAGGCTTTTCACACAGTCACACAGTTGCTATCTGGTTTACTCAATGTTCACAACCCAGTAAAGTAGAAGCTACTATTACCCTTCTTCACAGGAGAGAAAACCAACACCTGGAAAATTACGACTTGTAATTTAAAAATGAAGCTCACACCTGTAATCTCAGCTACCCAGGAGGCAGGAGGTATAGATAGGAAGATCATTGCCTGAGGCCAGCCCCAGGCAAAAAAATAACTAAATCAAAACACTGGTGTGCAGCTCAAGTAGAAGGGTTTCTGCCTTGTAAGTACAAGACCCTGAGTTCAAACCCCAGTATTGCAAATAAGCAGCAGCTGAGCCCAAAAAAAAGATGAAATTGATCAAAGTTCAGGTTAGTGACAGAAAACTCTAGAACCTAGATAAAGAGACTGAGGAACTTGGATGTCCACATATTAAATGCAGAATAGTCAGACCTAACTTCCAAATGTTTCTCTTCACTTCAGTGAAAAGTACTCATATCTTCTGCTTAGAAATGAAGACACTGACTGGGGGAAATCTAAGGAATAAAGGATGTGAAGAAAAGCAAGAAGCAGAGAACAGTGTGGTCCTGATGGTCCACTGCTGGCTCAGATCCTGAGTGTCTGAGAGGGCAACTCAAGAGTTTAGGCTTCAGCAAGTTAGACCCTAGGCCCTGAGGACACTGCCATGGAGGTAGTTGATAGTAGGGCCTGACTAGGGCTCAGTAGACAAGCATTTCTTGGTTCGGTTCGTGGAGCCCAGCTTAAGCTGGCTGCCTGCAATCCCCAGGGCTCTTTTTACAAATCCCCTGCTCAGTCCCTACCCTGCCCTCCTTAAGTCCTTCCTGTTGTTACTCATTTCAAGCTATCACTTCTCTCCGTGGACTTTTAATCCTCTTTAAAACGATATATTTATACCTCAGTAGCTCAGCAGTATTTATAGGGCAGGTCATGGGCAACTGACCCACTTGAAAAGCCAATCAGGTTTTAGATTTCTCAGCCAGACGATAATGGAGGCTCTTTGGGTTCTAAAATCCCACTTTGAGCAGATGCAGTGGTGCATACCTGTCATCCCCTAGTCCCAGCACTCCAGAGGAGGAGCAGAGAGGATCCTTTGAGCCCAGGAGGTCAGGGCCAGCCTCTGCGACATAGCAAGGCCCATTTCTCTTAAAAACAAACAGAAAACAGTAAACTCCGTTACCTTTCTCACTTGGTAATCTGGGTCCTCAAAGGAGTTGTAGAGGAGTGATGTTCAGCACTGTGTGCCAAGCACTTCACTCACTCAGCAAGTACTTGCACTTGCCACGCAGTCTTCTAAACCCTGGAAATTCCGTTGCATATGTGGTAAAGTCGCTCTCCTCAATGGTCAGACAAGCGAGGAAGACAATAAATAAAGGGAAAAGCTGGACACTGGTGGCTCACGCCTATAATCCTAGCTACTAAGGAGGCAGAGATCAGAAGGACTGTGGTTCAAAGCCAGCCCAGGCAAATAGTTCCTGAGATCCTATCTTGAAAAAACCCTTCACAAAAAAGGGCTGGTGGTGTAGGCCCTGAGTTCAAACCCCTGTACCACCAAAAAAATAGAAGTAGGGGAATGGGGGAATAAAGAGGTTCCAGAGGGGTTAAGCACCATGAAGAAAGTAGGATGATGTCAGAATGGCTTGAGTGGCCGTTCAGAGTTAGGATGAGTTCTATGAGGAGAGGAGAGCACCGAAGGAGGCAGCCATGTGAAGATCTGGGCGAAGAGTGATCCAAGAGTGGGGACAATAAATGCCAAGACCCTGGGAAAAAAAAAAAGAATATGAAAGCTGGGAGGCAGGGGTATGCCTGAAATCCTAGCACTGGAGAGGTGGAGGGAGGACAATTAGGAATTTGAGGCCAGCCTGAACTAGATGATGGGATCCTGCCTCAGAAAATAGGAAATGAACATAGCTCAACTTAGGTTATGTTTATTCTTATACTAATGAGTGATAAAATGTTACTTATTTCATATTTATTTACTCAGTTTTTATATTATGACCCATGAAGGCAAAAATGTGTAGCTCCCGTGAAGTTCCTAACGTGGCCTTGAAGATGCAGTTAAGAAGGGTTTTTTTGTTTTGTTTTCATACAGGAACTATCAAAACCCATGTAAATGACCCACTAGAGAGAGAAATTGAGGCTGCAGAAGAGAAAAGGAATTGTGGGAATGAAGTCCTTGAGTAGCCAAAGAGAGATGTGATCCAGGAAGCAAGGGGCAGGGCCAACAGGTGGCGAAGTGGGAAGGAGCTGTGGCTTCTGCTACAGCAGAAGGGAGAAGAGGATGTGGCCCAGCTGCAGAGAAGATGGCAAACGCTGTGGTGAGAAGATGAGTTACCTGGTCCATCTGTTTCTCTGGGAAGCCTGTGGGGGTGGCCATCAGCTGAAGGTGGGATGAGTGGAAGGTGGGATGAGTGGAAGGTGTCACACACCTCGAGGAAGAGTGTGACTTCAGCAGGGAAGAGTATGTAGGACGATTGTCCAGCATTATTTGAAATGTGGGCAGCCAGCATGACTCCATGAGTTTCTCCAGCAGTGCTCTGCCTTCTGAGTACAGGTGAGGCATTAGTGCAGTCAGTAGACAGCTTTAACCAATGGCCAAATGAGTACTTGTGGAGGGGAGATGCAGAGGCAGACAGGGGTCAAGATTGGCAAGGAAACAACCAAAGTGCTGGGCCAGGCATCAGGATAAGAAGGAAAATGAGCAAGATGACAGATGCTAAAAACATACCAGTTCAACAGGTCAGAAGTCTCACATAAGGGAGCTGGAAGGAGGAGGTGCCCATGAGAGAAGGCAAGGTTTGGATATTTCAGAGGCTATCGAGGAATTGGCTATCACACGGCCTGCAGCAGTGCATCTCAAACTTTAGTGTATGTCGGAAGCCCTGGAGGACTTGCTAAAATAAAGTGCTGGGCCCCACCCCAGGGTTCCTGATTGAGCAGGTCAGGATGGGGCCCGAGAATTTGCATGTCTAACAAACTCCCAGCTGCTGCAGCTCTTCACTCTGGACTACACATGAATTTGAACCATGGTGGAGGTGAAAGAAAAGCTCTTTGTAACTAAGGAGACCAAGGAGCAATGAGCCTTAATCGATGGGTAGGCCAATCATCCACGTGGATGTTGAAGTCATAGAAATGCTGCTTTGAAGCACTATTCACAATAGTCAAGTTATGGAAATAGCCAAGATGCCCCAGCACTGACGAATGGATTGAGAAAATGTGGTATCTATACACAATGGAATTTTATGCAGCCATAAAGAAGAACGAAATGTTATCATTCGCTGGTAAATGGATGGAATTGGAGAACATCATTCTGAGTGAGGTTAGCCTGGCCCAAAAGACCAAAAATCGTATGTTCTCCCTCATATGTGGACATTAGATCAAGGGCAAACACAACAAGGGGATTGGACTTTGAGCACATGATAAAAGCGAGAGCACACAAGGGAGGGATGAGGATAGGTAAGACACCTAAAAAACTAGCTAGTATTTGTTGCCCTTAACGCAGAGAAACTAAAGCAGATACCTTAAAGCAACTGAGGCCAATAGGAAAAGGGGAACAGGTACTAGAGAAAAGGTGAGATCAAAAAGAATTAACCTAGAAGGTAACACTCATGCACAGGAAATCAATGTGAGTCAATGCCCTGTATAGCTATCCTTATCTCAATCAGCAAAACCCCTTGGTCCTTCCTATTATTGCTTATACTCTCTCTTCAACAAAATTAGAAATAAGGGCAAAATAGTTTCTGCTGGGTATTGGGGGGGGGGGAGAGGGAGGGGGCGGAGTGGGTGGTAAGGGAGGGGGTGGGGGCAGGGGGAGAAATGACCCAAGCCTTGTATGCACATATGAATAATAAAAGAAAAATGAAAAAAAAAAAAAAGAAATGCTGCTTTGAGACAAGCAGTGATGTCACCATTAAATGATGGCAATGAGGAAGAGAAACAGGGTAAAGTGGCAGATAGCTTCAAAGGACCTGTCATTTTTGAAGGAGAAAAGTGAAAAGGCCATTTGGGTGATGAAGAGCAAGGAGGACACTAGCCCTACTTTAGACTTGAGAGATGTGAGATGCGGGAGAAAACTCCACAGATCCTGGAACAGTGATGGAGGAAATAGAGTCCCCACTTCAGGAATGAATGGCAAGAAGTTCCAAAGAACTTAGAGAGATTGGGGGTGTCTGGAGGGCAGGGAGCAGTGGGAGATGAGGTCAGGCCTGGAGATGTACAAAACAATTCAACCATCAACATCTGGTGGGAGAGTGACAGTGCCACTTCCAAGATTAGATGCAGATTCACTGGAACTACTACCCCTAAAATCTTCTAGAAAAATTGCTGCTCTGGGACTTTTGATTTCCTGGAGGTATCATGTTTACATTACATTAAAAGAAACATGAACATATAATTGACTCAAAGCAAATTTGTATGACCTTTCATATAAAGTAAGAGAATTCAAAGATATTTTAGGGCTCGCTCCAAGACCCTTCTCACTGTTAGTACTTTGGAGAGAATGTGAGAAAGGCACTACTTCTAGGGCTCACAATCCTTTTGCACTGAAAAGTGAAAAACTTCCAAGACTCAGGCATGATCTGTGAGGGAGCTTCAAAGATTGTGCTGAGGACAGTCACTCCTCTGGAGCCCTTCCCCTCATAGATTCTGCTGCTTCTCACTGGACCACAGGGAGGAGCAAGACCCGGACCACCAGGGATTCTATTCTAGAAGCTAGGAGTTGGTCTTGCTTCCTTCTGGACTTCAGAGTCTCTGTAACTCCAGCATGGGTCTCTCTGGAACATGGTGCCCAACTAGTCATCCCAGAGAGTGTGTGAGATGGGGGGGTCCCAACTGGTCATCCCTCTGCCTGTTTCTTCCCTTTTCCCCTTTTCAAGGTCTGCCCAGCCAACTTGAGTGTTTGGTTGGCAAGACTCAGGGGAGGGAGGAGGCTGGGGAAGCTCTGCCAGTTGGAGATCAAACCTTCCAGGGGAATCTTCTAATGGTCTTAGGGCAGCTTAGCAGGCCTGGGCCTGCTCCTCCCCCTCGCTGTCTGCCCCTACACTGTCAATCATGTTCAGTTGCCCAAGAGACAATGATGATCCTGATCAAACAAAGGAGAGGAAGGAAAAGGACCCTCACCTAAGGAATCAGTCAGAAGAGGCCTGGGAGGAGACACAGACCCTTGCTCCCTGACATTCAGGGCCAAGATGGGGCAGCAGTTCAGTTGGGAAGAGGTGGAGGCAGCTGGAGAGATGGATGTGGCAGAGTTGCAAGAGTGGTACAAGAAGTTCGTAGTGGGGTGCCCCAGCGGCACACTCTTCATGCACGAGTTTAAGCGCTTCTTCAAGGTCACGGGCAATGAGGAGGCCACGCAGTATGTAGAGGGCATGTTCCGAGCCTTCGACAAGAATGGGGTAAGGCACCCTGAAGGGAAGGACCTGCAGCCAGTCCACCTGGTGCCCTTCCCATCCTTGAGCCAAAGGTGCATCCAGGTCCCCAGTGCTCTTCCTTTCTGCTTTTCTTTTTTTTTTTCCTTTTGGTGGGACTGGGGTTTGAACTCAGGGCTTCATACTTGCAAAGCAGGTGCTCTACCGCTTGAGCCACACCTCCTGCCCATTTTGCTCTGGTTATTTTGGAGATGGGGGTCTCACAAACTATTTTCCCGCCTTGAACTGAGATCCTCCCAATCTTAGCCTTCCTAGTAGCTAGGATTACAGGTATGAGCCATCAGCATTTAGCTCTCGGCTCTTCTCTACTATCCAGCCCCCCATATCTTTCAGTCCTGCTCTTTCCCCAAACTCCTCTCTTTGTCATTCCATCTCTTTTCTTGTCTTCCCTCCTTTCCCCACTCACCTTCCCTCCTTCCATCTCTGGGTGATCCTCTGTGCTCCCTGCATCCTCTTCTGAGAGCTGGAAGTAGCTGGCACACAGTCTAGGTATTCTCTGTGTATTGTTGACCAAGGCTGTGCAGCCTAAGGACAGGGTTTTTCACACCTACCAGAGCCCCTGTCACTCTAAACACAGAAGTTAAGATGTCCCAAATGGGCCAGGTCATCTTAGCATAACCCATGAACTCCCCCTTGCTGGGGTCCTTCAAAAATTGAGATTGGTCATGTCTTCCCTACGGTGATGATGGAGGAGGCTCCACTCTGACTGGGAAGTGGATGGATTGTTGCAAAAGTCCTTTTCAACTCTTTAAGTCATGGATTTCATGAAGTCATCCTTTATAGCTTTCTTTTCTTTTTTTGGTCTGATCACATCTTGCTCTTATGTGTCATTGTGGCATGTGTCCTTAGTCTCCTTTAATTTGGAACCTTCAATCAGCTTTTCTTTTTTCTTTCTTTTTTTGGGGTGGAGGCATACTGGGGTTTGAATTCAGGGTTTCATCCTTGCTTGGCAGGCGCTCCACTACTTGAGCCATCCCACCAGCCCTTTTATTTGTTTTAATTTAATTTTTGGCAATTGACATTATATTTGAAGACATGTGAATATTTGCCAATTATTAAAACAGTCCTCCCTACGAGAGGCAGTAATGATTTGTTACTGTGAACAAATGGTCGTACCGCACACAAGATCAGGTTGAGACTATGTATTTCGAGTGTACTTCTTTACCATTTATAATCCAACAACTACCACTCAGAGGTATATTTCTGATTTATTACATGTAACATCAATATCTCGCAGTGTTTATACCAGGAGTATATCAAACTAAGAAGTCTATGTTAAGGGTTCTAATAATACTGGGTATACTCAATAAATATAGGTTAAATAGGTTAATATGCTGACTGTTGATAACCAAACTGTTGTGCTCATACAATCATATATTATACACTAAGTTATTACTCTCCTGTTATATACTCTTACGTATGGCAGTTCAAGTACCTGTAGAAAATAGTAATACTTTATTAGAGACTATTATGGAGAAATGAGAATATTAACATGCCTTTACTAAATGCACCACTTCACATTGTTACGTGAGAGTTAGAATTCACTGTTTGCCCTTCTGTGTTTTTCTGGAAGGACACCAATCCCGTGCGTGATAGAATAGTTTAGTATCCCCAGTGGTAAACACTTACCCTGTCTCCTTTTCTAACTGCTTTAGTTATTTTGCAGTCCCATTCTACCATTCTAAGGTAGAGGATGTCTCACACTGGAGAGAGTGTCGAGGGATCCTGTCTCCAATTCAGGTGAGTATTTATCGACAACTACATCTACTCCAAACGCTACTGCAACTCTACTTAGGGCACTTACCCTACTTCCTTAGCGTAGGCAACAATATAAAGTAGCATGATGCTCTGGGGAGGAATTCGGAATAGACAGAAATGATCAGTCACCACCTATACATGCATTAGATCAGCCTTGTTATAGGAGTACTTTGTACTTTGATTGCATAGTAAAGTTATCTACACAAACTTCCATGTGTATGAGAAATTTTGAGTCTGGAATGAAGTAACATCCCTCCCAACAGGGAGATGACACAGTCACACCTCATAATTACAACATTATGTACAGATGATAGAGACAGTTTACCATCGACTTGCCCATGAACCAAACATCACGCGTGAGCGCTAGCCTCAATGAAAGCAAGAGATACCAAGAATACGCCAAAAGTGCCCTCAGCATGAGAGTGCTTGACACACCCAAAGACAATAATGGCCTTGTGGTTGCTTACCATACACAAGAGGGAAAGTCATCTGTACCCTACAAGTGAGGCAGAAGAGGTATAGCTCTTCGGTGAAAAGAATGCTGTAACCAATGTGAGTGTAAGGAAAAGCTAGGGACCATGATACGGCAAGAAACATAAGAGACATCAACATATGAGAGAATAGACTATACGAATTATTAAGAACAGAAAAGAAATCAGACAGAAATAGTAGTGCTGAGTGAAGAGAACATCGCGAGCTCATAGAAGGGGGTTTATGGCATTGAGATATGTGCAAGTGTTTTACTTTCTTTCTTACATCTTCTTATCGAGCTCTGACTCTTTTACGCTATACGGAATGATCTATTAAATGTATGTTCGTAGACTAGTCCATTTATTAGACTCTGAACTCCACGTGAGGACAATACATATCAGCTGCCTAAGTCAACACCTTGAATTGAGTGAAGGACTTGTTTGATGAGGTGGTCCCTGAGTCGTGATAGTACGTATAACCCCGAGACACACACGATAAGAAAGTGGAGAATCATGACGTATCATGTAGTAAAGAGTTGGTGCATAATGGATATGCTAGCTGTTTTGTCACAACTTGGAGTGAACTGCCCGATGATGTGTAGCTAGTAAAGGCTCTTCTGCTTGTGCCTTTGCTGACCAGTGTGCGTCCGTTCGTGAGTCACTTATAAGCACAGCCCAGGTCTTTTCATCATCTTATACAATGAGGATGTAGTATAATTTCTTAATGAGCGTCATTTAGATCATCTTATAAAGAAGGTAAGACACATGGATTTGGGTATTGTTGTACTTAAGTGGGTCTTTAGCTAAGTAGATATATGATCTGACTAAAGCAACGTGGGAGTACGTCATTTTGAAAGAAACAAGCGAACCACTGACTTCAAGAAGCTTACCAAAGAAATTACCGGAGAGCTGGCGGTGGTATTGGCTATGAATCCCAGCACTTGGAAGGCTGAGGCAGGATGACTGCAAGTTCAAGGTCAGCCTAAGTTACATAGTGAGACTCTGTCTCAAAAAAAGAAAAAAGGGAAAAGAAAGAAATGACTAGAGAAAAAAGAAAAGAAAGAAATGACCAGAGAGTAAGAAAAAGTGGTGCACATGCACAAAGATATTCATGGTATAATATAAAATATTAGAAATATGTCCTGCAGGAGGGAATGCCCAGTAACTCCCCTTCCCCCAAAAGGTACACATTTTATTCAACATATTTAAAATATATATTAGGATATTTTCATTGTACCGGGGATTCATTGTGACAATTCCAAATGTGCTGATATTGTACGTTGGTTAGTCACCTCACCATCTTCCCCCCTTGATCACCTCTCTGCCCCACTTCAAGCAATTGCAAGAGGTTTCATTGTTCTATTGTGTGTAAGTATACAGAGCCCATCAATCATAGTCCCTCACCTTCATCTTCATTCACCCTCTCCCTCCCAAAATACCCCCCATACACGCTGTACCTATTTTACAGTCCTTTCATTATTAGTTTCGAAGTCAGTGTTCAAAGGAGGTTCTTGATGTGGCCCGCTGGGAGTCTACTTCACTCTGGTCTGTTCAACCCCTTCCATTACTCTCCTTTCCCCTTCCCTCCCACCTCCCTCGTTCAACATCTGTTACATAATTGCTATAAATAATTCCTGTAAATATAAGGCTCCCTTGCTCTGTTTGCCTAACTGAGCTCAGACTTCGTTTATAGTTTTATTTACTGGATGTTCACCTAACATCTTCTCATGTCTTTAAAAACTATTTAATAGGGTTTGAGATCATGGCTCAAATGGTAGAACACTTGCCTAGCAAATGTGAGGCCCTAAGTTAACCCCTAATACTTCAAAAAAAAAAAACCTATTTAAGGGACTGAGCACATAGCTCAGTGGTAGACTGCTTGGCTAGCATGTGTAAGGTCAAGTTCCATCCCCAACATGGAAAAAAAATAAAATCTCAACATTTACAGGTTTGGGGGGAAGGGTGGTTACTGGGTGCTCACCCAGGCACCCCTTTACCTGGGACCAGGATCCCTGAGTGGCCAGCTACTAGGTCAGAAGTGATCCAGACCTGGACATGAGTGGGGGCTGAAGCCACCGCTATCCTCCCTCAGCCTCCGGTGTGTGAGCGTGTGCAGGGAATTTTCCTTGTGAATCCTGCTTCCAAATCTCCAAAAGTAGCTTTATCCCAAATCCACGATTTGCTTATGGTTCATGAATCAGTAGTGTGTTTACCCAGCACTGTGCTGGGGATAGAGAAAAAACAAGTGGTGTGGACCCCTACAGGAGGCCGTGTAGACTGCCAGAGTTATCACCAAACCACATGGAACAGACCGTAGGGGCTGTGAATTTAGAACAGGGAGGGGGCAGAGAGATGAAGACAGAGACAAAGGCAGACATTGAGGTGAGGTGGTCCAGGAAGGAGGCTTCCTGGAGGAGGGGACCCTTGAACTGAGCTGTACAGAAGGGGAGGACTGGGTGGTTTCAGGGTGGAGACGACAGAGGTCATGTGGCTTGCAGGGAGAGGAAAGCTCTGAATCAGCTGGGATGAGTGGCCCTCTGGGGAGGGGGCCTGGGGGCCAGGGGGCCTCAGCTGCATCCACACCCAACGCAGGACAACACCATTGACTTCCTGGAGTATATGGTAGCCCTTTGTGCTGCGGGGCGCCCTAGAGCACAAGCTAAGGTGGACCTTCAAGATCTACGACAAGGACCGCAATGGCTGCATCGACCGCCCGGAGCTACTTGACATCGTGCAGGTCAGCATCTCTCCTGTGAGCGGGTTCCCAGCTCTTGACAGTGCTGGAGCTCAGAGGGCTGGCTTCAGGTGGCCTGCCAAAGAGGGGGACCCCGGGACTGGGGTTAGGGAAGAAGCAGTGAAGTCACTCGGTGTGTTTTCTTACCACACTGGAATTAAGTGGGAAACCAATTACAGAAATGGAAATAGAAAACTGGTTAGAGACCAGTTTGGAAATTAGGCAATACACTTCCAAATACTCCATAAAGGAAAAATATCATGCATACGCACACACACACGCATGCACACACACGTACACACATATGCACACACGTACACATACACGCACACACAGAGACACACGCACATGCATTCACAAACATACACGCGCACACACATGCATACGCACACTCACACACACGCATACATGCACAAGTATTTTGAACTGAACAATAACGCATACATGACATATCAAAACTTGTGAGACACGGCTTAATCTGGGTTTCAGAGAAATTTACAGCCAAAAATACATTTATTAGAAAAGAAGAAAGGCTGAAAAATCAATGATCTAAGATACTATCTAGAGAAATTGAAAAAAGAATAAATTAAACCCAAAGAAAAGAAATAATAAAGAGCAGAAGTTAATAAGATAAAAAACAAATGCATACAAGAAAACTGCAGCCTGGCACCAGTGGCTCAAGCCTGTAATTCTGGAGGCTGAGATCTGGAGGATCACCATTTGAGGCCAGCCCAGCCATATTGTTCCCGAGACCCCCAACTCCAAAATAACCAGGACAAAATGGACTGGAGATGTGGCTCAAGTGGTAGAATGCCTACTTTGTAAGCATGAAGCTTTGAGTTCAAACCCTAGTCCCACAAAACAGAGAGAAAAAAACCTAAGTGAATCAGATTTTTTTGTCACCGTGACAAACAACCTGAGAAAAAACAGCTTAAAGGAGGAAAGATTTATTTTGGCTCACAGTTTCAAAGGTTCTTTGTTCACTTCCTCCATTGCTATGAGCTTGTGGGGAGGCAGAACAACATGGCGGCAGGACCATGTAGTAAAGGAGACTGCTCATCTCAAGGCAGTCAAGAACCAGAATGAAAAAGGAAGGGGCCAGTGGAAAACAGACCCTTCAAAGACAGGTCCCCAGTTGGAGACACAGCCTCCAACCAAGCTCCACCTTCCACAGGTCCACCACCTCCCAATAGTCTAAATTCTGAGTCCAGCAATGGATTACCCATTGATTAGGTCAGAGCCTTCATAAAGTAACTGTTTCTGGAAACGCCCTCACAGACACACCCAGAGCGGGTTTTACTCATCTCCTAGGTGTTCAATCCAATCAAGTTAGCAGTGGACATGAACCACCACAAAAACCAGGTCAATAAAACCAAGTTGTTTCTTTTAAAGAGCTAACAAGACTGATAGACTCCTAGCAGGAATGATCACGGAGGAAGAGTACAGAGCATAGAGTACATCACAAGCCCTGATGTGTTTGCTCTGTGCGCAGATTGGTCCCCAGATTGACTCTGTGGGGTGGACACTGCCAGTCCTGTTTTACAGAGAAGGAAATCACCTTACCTCACAGAGGTTCTATGGCCTGCCCAAGTTCACATTACAAAGGAAGTGCTGGAGCTGGACTATGGGGAACCCCCTCAGGCTACTGGGACACCTTTAGTGAGGCCTGTGTGGCTCCAGGCTCTAGTCCGGCAGTGAGACCATGGAGATGAAGAAGGCACAGCCTCTGTCCTCATAGGGCACCCAGGCTGTGAACCCAGAATGGTCCTCAGGCTTGTCCATCTGTTCTGCACTTACGTGGTGCTTCCACATAGTCTCGAGGGTCAGGAAACTGGGCAAAGGAACCCCAGTTTGTGTCTCCAGTCCAAACAACTCCATCTACAGCATCCTATACATGGACACACATAAATACACTAAGTTCTCTTTTCTCTGCATCTCTATGTCTTCCTCAGTAGAATGGGTGTAGACTGTCATGGGGACTTACACATCCCTCACTGGCTCACAACAGAAATGGAAATGGGCTGGGGAGGCCAGGAAGTCCCCAGGCAGAATGAGGCCGGTGGGGCTCAGAGCACCGAATTAAGACAGTTTGGTTTTGACTTGGAGCTGAGTCATGTGGTCCTAAGAGGCACAGCCTGGGGACCAGCAGTGGGGAGGTGGCACCCAGCACTGTGGGTCTCTGGGATGGAGGTGGAGCTTGCAGGTCTCATCAGGGCAGAATGTTCTCTCTGACAGGCGATTTACAAGCTGAAGAAAGCCTGCCAGGTAGAGATGGAGCTGGAGCAGCAAGGCCAGCTGCTCACCCCTGAGGAGGTCGTGGACAGGATCTTCCTGCTGGTGGATGAGAATGGAGATGGTAAGGGGTGCACCCTGCAGGGAAGAGATGGCCACTGTGCAGGGTGCAGGGCCACTTCCCACCCACTGATGTCCTCATCTGTGAACTGGCTGCGGAGTCCATGAAATATCAAAGGGTACCAGGAGCCCATGGTGCTCATATGGGATTAAAACTCCTCCCAGGGTCACTGAAGGAGGCCAGACAAGGAAGTAAAAGGAACAGGAACTTTGGAGTCAGGCTGGCCAGGATGACACAGTCGACCTGTCAGCCTAGACTCTGTTTCTCCATTTGGAAAATGGGATCACAAGAGGGATTGAGAGAAACAAAATGGGACCACATGTAAGGAGAGGGGAGGCCTCTATTAGGGCTTCTCCCTGTAGCTCAAAGCTCAGCACCACGGCTGTGCAAGATGGAGCTGCCTTGCAACAGCAGAAGAGCCCTCGGAATACTTCAGCGACACTCAGCATTTCACAGGTGCTGGGGACCAAAGTAAAACGTGAGGTCACCTGCCAAGAAAGCAGCCCCTCCCCTTGCAAGCCAGGTGCAATAGTTTGCATCTGTGATGATCCCAACTACTCAGGAGAGGGCGATCAGAAGGATCATAGTTCAAGGCCAGCCTGAACAAAAAGTTAGCAAGACCCCATCTCAACAAACAAACTGGGTGTGGTCATCCCAACTACTGGGAGGTATGGGTAGAAGGATGTCTGAGGCTAGCCTCAGACAGAAAGGTGAGGCCCTACCTGAAAAATAGCTAAAGCAAAAAAGGCCTGGAGCAAGGCTCAAGTAGTAGAGAGGCCCTGAGTTCAAATCCCAGTACCAACACAAGTTTAAAAAAAAAACATCCCTTAGAGGCTCCAGATGGTTACTTGAGATCTGAGACCTGACTTACGGGATGGAGATACCTCTTAAGAGAAAGTCCTTCCCTACGCCCAGCTCCAGGTTTCATCCCCCACCCCCACCCCCCACTCCATGACCATCTCTCTCTTGCTCAGGCCAGCTCTCTCTGAATGAGTTCATTGAAGGTGCCCGTCGTGACAAGTGGGTGATGAAGATGCTGCAGATGGACGTGAACCCTGGCGGCTGGATCACTCAACAAAGGAGGAAAAGTGCCATGTTCTGAGGCGTCTGGGGCCTCAGGTGCCTGCAGGAGTCCACAAATCCCTCCAAAACTCCAGGCTCACCCAGGTTTTCTGAGTAGTGGGAAGGTCCCTGCCCAGCCTGCTCCGGCCTGCTCCTCCCCTGGTGTGGACTTCCTGGCACACCCTGTGCAGGAGTAAGGACCAGCAAGGGCTTCTAGGTCTGATACCAGTAGTATATGATTCATTCCACTGGGTACTGGGGTCAGAAGGGGACGCCATTTCTCTGCCCTCAGCCACTCCTGGGAGAATTCTGCCTTGGCTGGAAGAATGCAGGGCTCTCGCAAATTTCTAGGTGTTTTTGGTTGGAAGCAGGACCAGCTGGGGATTGGGGGGGGGGGGAAGGAGTCCCTTAGACCAGCAAGGACTGACTTCCTTCAGGTCTGGGAAGCAAAGACTGTTAGGAAGCAGGGCCTGGAAGGTGTTGAAACTGAAGGTGACCAGGATCCCAAGGCCTGGTCATGGGGAGGTCAACTCCCTACATCCTCCTGAGGCATCCTCACCGGGGTGACAAGGGAAAACTGGAGCCAGTAAGTGATAGGCTGTGGTCGTCCTGTCCTTGGAGGAGCTGCTGTGCTTAAAGAGGCTGTTTCAGCCCTGCCTGGTGCTGCCCTCCAAGCCCCTCTGCCAACTGTCCCACCCCACTCTTTATCATCCTTCCCATCTCCTCTCCCCCACCCCCATCATCCCCAGCACGGACCCTGCACCATTCCCAGCCATAGGCCCACAGGCCTCTTTAAAGGATAGAGAAACCTTTTGTCAGCAGGGAGAATTGGGTCCTGCCAACCTGGGTTCTAGGTCACACTTTGCCTCCAATGGCTGTGTGACCCCAAAGGGCCACTTCTCTTCCCTAACCTTGTGCAGGTTGACAAAATGAGACATTTCCAGATCATTATGGTTTTAGAAGTAGAAGTCTTTCTTTTTTCTTCTTTTTTTTTTTTCCTGTGGTATTGGGGTTTAAACTCAGGGCCTACGCCTTGAGCCACTCCACCAGCCCTTTTTTGTGATGGGTTCTTTCAAGATACCATCTCACAAACTATTTGCCTGGGCTGGCTTCAAACACAGTCCTCCTGATCTCTGTCTGCTTCCTGAGTAGCTGGGATTATAGGCATGAGTACTGGCACCCGGCAGAATTCTTTTTTTTTTTTTGTTACACACACTCTTGTGCAATACCAGGATAGAAACTAGATTAAAAGGGAGTCCCTCTGGGTGAAAGGGACTGAGGAGCTGGGACCTCTCCCACCACTGGAGTCTCTGTAGACATCTCTGAGAACAGGAAGTGGGAAAATACTTGTTTTGTCCTGAACAGATGTTTTTATGTTGACTATAGAAAAAAATAAAACTAACCTAACTAACCTGAGGCTTTTATAGGAGTGATATTCCGTATATTCATATGAAGTTTCCCTTAGACATCAATGTTAGTAACTGGGCACTGATGGTTCATGCCTGTAATGCTAGCTACTTGGAAGGCTGAGATCAGGAGGATTGCAGTTCAAGGCCAGTTTGGGCAAATAGTTTGAGAGACTCCATCTCCAAAATAACCAAATCAAAAAATGGACTGGAGGCATGGTTCAAGCACTGGAGTGCCTGCTTTGCAAATGTAAAGCCCTGAGTTCAAACCCCAATCTCACCACAAAGAGAAAATCAATGTTACATTGACTAAACATACATTATCTCAGGTGGGACAGAGATGTGCCCCAACTCATGAAGGTGACATGTGATTGAGGTTGGGGATGCTGGTCTGATTGTATGCGGGCACACTCCCAACTCTGACCTTCAGGATTCCCCACAAGGTTGCCAGAAAGAGAAGGAGCAGAAATGTCAGCTCCCCTTTTTTTTTTCCAGGCTGCCCATGACATTGACCTCCCATGCCTGCTGCTCAGGCCCCAGCTGACTTCCCTGCCCAGGTGATGGGAAGAACAGGGGCAAGCAAAGTGCACCCCCTCCCCTCTGGCCATCTCGGAAGGGCACTCTCTGACCTTGTGTTTCACTCCACTCTCCCCTTATTTTCTCCCTCCCACCCCTGGATTTTTCCCTATCCCCTCCCTGCTCTCCGCTAAAGTAAAGACTAAAGTCCAGGAGCAGGAGCGTCTTTGAAAACGAGGTCATTTCTGCTCCAGCCTATGTGTCCTCAGGTTCCCATAGCAACCAGGCAACTTGTAATTCAGGACAGAGCTGATACAAGGAGAGGTAGATCTGAGTTGGGTTGAAGTTGAGTTGTGCAAAGAACCAGGATGGGGCTGACATGACAGACTGCCCCACTTTTCAACTGGTGTCAGTTGTCACTGCAGCAAGAGGGATTTAGCTTAGACCAGGATCGGTTACGTCATTTGCAAGGAACCATGAGTCTTAGACCTGTGCAGAAACACATAGCACCATGTGTCACCAAGTACGGAAGGTGAGGGACTTGTGTAGTCTTTTCTGAAACAATCAGTTTTCCTCTGGACAGATGAGAACTTTCTGCAGTGCCACCACCTTCTCTCTCTTTCTGGCCCACACCAGACTTGAGCAGAGCCTCCCGGAGTGTGTGAACGCATGCATGGGCACACACACCATGGCCGGTCCTTCTGGGGTGATTCAGAAAGGCATTGCCATCCAAACATTCCATCCTTGTCTCCTTGGTATGATTCTACACTCCTTGAAGGAGTTGTGGTTTTCTCTCAGTGGGGCCCTAGAAGATGCTCCCTAAAAACGAACATGATGACCCTTGTTCTCTCAAATTTAGTAAAATTTAAATCTTAAGGGATACTTCTTACCTAGTAATGCCCTTGCCTACACCACACAGCCCACATGTGTGATATGTACACCACAAAGAATGCACCCCAACCTCCCCAAACACATTTTCTCCATGTGCAACCCTCAAAACCTCTTTAAAATCAAAGGTCATACTTCATCCAGGCGTGATGGCACATGCTTGTGATCCCAGATATGTGGGCGGCCTAGGTAGGAGGATCACAGTCTGAAATGGTCCTGGGCAAAAACTCAAGACTCTATCTGAAAAATAATTAAAGCAAAACCGGGCTGGAAGTGAGGTTCAAGTGGCAGAGTGCAGTGCCTGCCCTAGCAAGAGCAATGCCCTGAGTTCAAACCCCAGTATCACAAATCAGACTTTTATAGGAGTCCTAATGTCATAACTTTTCTTAGATGTTTTATTGTAATTATGCTGGTCTGTGGTCTCTTTCCCACTAGTTTAGTTTTTTTTTTTTTTTTTTTTGGTGGTATTGGGGTTTGAACTCTGGGCTTCATGCTTGCTAGGCAGGCACTCCACCACTGAAGCCACTTCGCCACCCTTTTTTGTGTTAGATATTTTTCAGATAGAGTCTTACGAACTATTTGCCTGGGCTGGCCTCAAACCCTGATCCTCCTGATCTCTTCCTCCCAAGTAGCTAGGATTACAGGCATGAGCCATCAGCACCCAGTCAGAACTGTCTTCTTTCACAGTAGGTGCTCAATAAATGCTTATTGCAGGGAGGAGTGAATCAGTGCAAACCACGCAAGTAGGTCCTTGCAAGATGTGACTGTGGCATTAGGATTGAGCGGGCAACCAGTGGACGTGTGGGATCCCACCGGGAACCCAGGAGGGCCCGGCTGTGCCTCGGGACTTGTACATCTAGCAGGGCGTGAGCTGCAGTACAGTAGGAAGCTGAGGGAAGCTGTGTGAGGAGCCAGAAGCGCCAAGGAGGAGCCCGAGGGCAGAGGCCCCCAGCAGGGAGTGTAACCACCAGCTGAGCCTTCCAGAGGGCTCTGGTACCCTCCTCTGCTCTGGACTCCACGCCTGCCCCTCCGCTGCCACTGCGCACTCCAAGGAGACCAGTGAGCCTTTGACTTCATAGATTCTATCTATGTACTATGAGGACAAGCACAACTCCAGGCACCACCATGGCCCCCCTACTCCCACTCTCCAATATAGAAGCCGCTGGACGTGGTCTCAGCCTGCGGCCTCCGCCGCCCCATCACCGGCCCCTGCCTCGTCCAGCTCGCTGTTCTGGAGTCTGCGCAAAATGCGGGTGAGGTCGAGGCTTCGTGTCAGCGTGTCCAGAAGCATCTGGTCCTTTTGGACACCCTCCATGAACTCCTCTAGAGAGAGCTCCCCTGGGGTAGAAAGAAGAATTCAAAGGAGAGGATGTCTACCTCTGCAGAGCCCAGAGCTGGATTCCTACAAGGGCCCGAGACAGAGAAAGCAATGCGGAAAATGGCCTCAGAAAGCAGGCAGAAGGATCCAGAGCCCAAAGTGTGGTCCAGGGACCCCTAGAAGCCAGTGCTACAGCTGGGGCAGAGGCGCTGGGGGAGGTGACCAGCAAAGGGCCTTTGTGCCTCTTCCTCTCGCCTGATGATGTCCCATGCCTGCTGACCCCTACCCTGGGAGCCCCTCCTTGCCCGCCTCACCATCTCCATTGATGTCGATCTTGGCGAACACGGTGTCTGTGAACTCCTCTGCACTCATGCTAGGATTGCTCCAGGGGTTAATGGTTCGAATGGCCTGGAAGAAAGAAGAGGCAGAAGTGAGGAGACTTCCACCTCCACGGTGGAAGTGGGGGCAGTGAGAGCTTATCTGGCTCCCAAGAGCACTGAGGAGTGGAGGCCATAGTGCCTGGGGCCTTGGGCAGAGCTTGGACTTAAGAGTCAAGCTTCTACAGTCACATGGTGCCAATGAGGAAACTGAGACCCACAAAGGGATGGTGACATGGCCCCGATCATACAGTTGGTGAGGGTCAGCGCTATCACCTGGACCCTCAGTCCCAACTACTGAGATTGCAGTTCCTACTTTGGGGCTCTCCGCTCCGGGTACCTCCCGCAGCCGCTGGCCCTCTGCTCCTGGAGTTACCCGGATGATGGTGAGCAGCTCCTCCCGGTCAATGCAGCCATTGCCGTCAACGTCGTAGAGCTTGAAGTACCAGCGCAGCTTCTGTTCCACCTTCCCTTTGAGGACAAGGCTGAGTGCAGCAACGTACTCCATGAAGTCAATGTAGCCGTCCTGGGTGAGGAGCAATGGTGCAGCTACCTGAGCCCACCTGGGCCTCAGCCACCTGTCCTGCAGGCCCCACCCAGCTCAGCCCCAGGCCCTGTCCCTAGAACCAAAGGAGTCCAAGGGATGCTGAGGGGAGGTAGGGACTCTGGGAGTACACTCAGAAAGGTCAGCTCTGTCCCTGCCTTGGTCTTCTTCCTTGGTGCACCCCCCCCTCCATAACCCACCCCTTCCAACACCCACTGGGGTGTGAATCGCTGACTCTTCCCAGGCATTTTGGTTTTAGCTGTCACTTGCTGCTTTCCTGAGGTTGTCAAACATGAGCCCTTCACGTTGGGGCTGTGGGAGATCACAGCCCAAGAATGGAAGCATGGTTTGGATGAGCTCTTGGCAGTTTCTGACCTGGCAGGCAAGAGGAGCTGGGGTGGGCAGGAGGCAAATACAGAGGCAAGGAGCCTTTCCCCGCTCTCTTCTGCCTTGAACCTGACAGAGCAGCTGCTATGAGCTGTGCCAGACGGACCCAGAGCTCGGTAAAATAGACACCCCGTCCTGATGAGAGTGCAGTGCTGGCGGCGTTGGTGCGGCGTTGGTGCTTACAATCCTGGCTCCCCCCACTCCAAGAACACCTCCCTCAATTTCCTCATCGGCAGTAACTGTAGTAGTAACTACTCCTAGGGGATTGCTGTGGAATTAGAGTTCACGTACGGGAGGCACGGATGAGCTCTCGATAAAGGGGTCCCCGTCGGTACGATGAGATGAGATAGCCATGCGGTCATGACGTGTGTTCACACAATCAAATCACCCTAACTCTGCTAGCGCAGGACAGGAGAAGGGCTTAAGGAGGTCTCCTAGGGAAGTGATGCCCCCCAAGTCTTAGAGAGGTTGGGGAGCACATGTTCGTGGGCACACAAGACTACAATTATTACTCTTATTATTGGCGATACTGGATATTGAACTCAGTGCCTCAGGCTTACTAGGTAAGTATTCTAACACTTGATCCACACACCCAGGCTTTTTACTTTTGGTTTGCTTTTCAAATAAGGTCTTGTGATCACTTTGTCCCATCAGGCCTTAAACAGTGACCTCCAACCTCCACATCCCAAGTAACTGGGACCACAGGCATCCAGAAGACATTCTTACAGGACATTTCTTGCCTGACCCTGCCATACTGCCTCTGCTCTCAGCCCCCAAATCAAATGAGGCTGGGAACAAGAAATCTATGTGTTGCAGAGAGGCTAAGCACTGTGAGGAAGAGAGCGCTGGACTCAGTGAACTTGGACTTCAGAACTTGTTCCTCTACTTACAAGCAGGACTCCAGAACAGGAGGTTACCAAGAGGCAGATTTGGGGTCACTGAAAGAATTCTCTAACAGGCAGAGTCCCTGAAAGCATACAAGTGGAGGCTGTCAGGGAAGGGGCAGGGTGGCCTCTGAGCTGTCCTGGTCTGTGCTGGCCTTTGACTTTGAACAAGGTCCTAACTACTCAGCTCCACAGTGGGTACAGGGGTCACAGTGAGCATTTCATGGTGCTCTCCCATGTTCACCTTAGCTCCTTCTGTCTTTGCCCAATCCACCTCCCAGTCTTGTCAGCAGAATGGAGCAGGCCCTACTCAATAATGCTTGGGCAGCATAAAAAAAATGGCCAAGGACATTTTCCTAGGGGAAGGGAACACGGGGCAAGGGGACTTTTGCTTCTCACATTTATCTTTCTGTATTACTGGAAATTTTTACGATGGGTTCTATTACTTTCACAATTTAAAAAAATACTGGCTCGAAAGAGGCAATGGAAAAGACCTGGGTTTTTGTACCAATGGTTTCTGTAGTACTTTCTGTGGCTTTTCTGTGCTGACTTTTTTCACCTTGCTCACTTGACCCCTCAGACACCCTCCCAGGAGGTAGGGACTTTTGTCCCCGTTTTAGACAAGAAAGCTGAAGTTGAGAGAGGTCAGGTCACACAGCTAATTGAATGACAAAGCCTAACCTAGAAACCAGGTCTTCTAAACACTACACTAGTGCTCAGATACTGGCCAGGAGGTTGAGGTTGATTTGTGTGCACCTGTGTGATTGCCTGGCACAGCCACGCCCAGGCAAGATTTGCAGTGAGCTAGACCTACGCTTTACCCTGGCCACCTCCCTGCTCCTGCTGGTGCCCCACAACCTGCAGCACCCCGAGATCCAGCTGTCTCTCACTTGGGGACTGCAAGAACTCTAAGGGTCCACATAGTCAAAACTTCAGTTTTGTGGCCAAATCTGGCATTTGTCTTTTTAGCATTGTAATTCTCTTTGTTTTACGGTGCTGGGGATAGAACCCAGGCCTCTCATACATGCTAGGCAAGCGTTCTACCACTTGAGCTACACGCAACAATTCTTAAATAAATGAATGCGATGTGTTTTAATCAAACTTCATTTACAAAAATTGGCTGTTGGGCTGTCTTTTAACATCCCTGTTTTAAATTCTCTCTGCTTTGAAAGTTCCCAGTGCCGTGTCCCACTCCAGGCCATTCTGCTAAAACTGTTCCATGTTGGAATCATTGGTTAAGATAGCATGTCAGTCAAGTGTGACTTGACTGAATATCAGGGTATGGGGAAGACACACTGAATATTACAAAGATACTCATAGGTATTTTTGTTTGTTTGTTTGTTTGTTTAGGGTTTTTTTGAGGCTGGGTCTCTCTCTGTAGCCCAGGCTGTCCTTGAACTCACAGTCCTCCTGCCTTAGCCTCCCAATGCTGGGATTACAGGAGTGCACATCACACCCATGTATCCTCTTCATTTTAATAGTTACTTATTTAAATCAATGTGTGTTATAAAATACTTAAGTAACCCATTTAAACTCATGATCTCTCAAATTCATCTACTCGACAACCAATACTTCTGAAACACCAACTGTGTTCCAGGCACTGTCCTAGGAGAGGGAACAGAGCGGTAAAGAAGCCAGAAAACCCTGCCTTCATGGAGCTCACATGCCAGCAGGGGGAGGCAGATAATAACCATAGTGGCTAAGTGTTATTTAATATATGGTATCAGAAGGTGAGAAGTAAAAATAAATACGTGGATGGATAGATAGATAGGATAGATGATAGAAAGATAGATAGATAGATAGATAGATAGATAGATAGATAGATAATAGATAGATGATAGATTTTTTTTAAAAAAGTACTGGGGTGAGGGACAGGAGGATTGGGGACTAGCAAATGCTGGGCTGGGGGCCAGAACTAGTTTTAAATGAAGGAGATCACACCTTTGAGCTGAGACTTCCAGCAGGGGAAGGTGTGAGCCAAGCAGGTTCTAAGGGAAGAGGTCCCAGAATCAGTTGGATGTCGGAGGCAGAATGGAGGAGGCCAGATTGGCGTGAAGAAGTTGATTTACTTTTTGGGACAATACAGGTGGGGCTTGCACGTGACAAAAATCGAAGAGATGCCATAGAAATGACTCAGGTAAGGTGAATGCAGGACTCACGGACTGCCCTTCCCTGAATGCGACTTCAGGAGTTCTATAGACAGAGACGAGAGTTTGGTGCATTGGATGAGGTAGAGGGCTCAACCATGGACTCCACCCTGCCTCCTGTCTGGAGGAATCACTTTTTTCCTCTGGGACTCTGGGAGGAGGGCAGGGTGGCGGCTCCATCCCCCCTAGTCTCCATACCATGGACTCTGGTACCCTGCTCCCCGTGTCTCCATCACAAGAGCCTCAGTCGCCAGGACACTGCCCTTGAGGCTGGCGCTCAAAGCCCATAATCCGCTTTGGCGCCTTAACCCCATATTGGTGGGTTTTAAATAGCCATGGGGATCCCAGTGTTCCCTGGCCACACACCACCCTTGTGGTGGTGTTTAGACCGTCGGGGGGGAGGGGAGCCTCTCCCTGCCATCACCTTCCAAGTGAGAGGCGCTGGAGTGCAAATCAGTAGAGTGTGCCGGCAGTGCAGGGGAATGAGGGGGAGGATAGAGTTTGTGAGTTCGGATCCCTTCCTCCACCCATCTGACTAAATTGTTCCAAATAAATGGAAGACTGAAACCAAGACACCTTAACCAATACTCCCAACCTCAGGGGCAGGACCAGTGGACTAAAGCAAGGCTGAGGGGGCTACAGTGGGGTCGGGTGGCCCAACTGATGAAAGCTGGGGCCCCAAACTCCCCTCTCCTGTCCATCTAGCATCTCAGGAAGTCTTCACCCAATCATCACCGCAGTCACTCAAGGAGACATGAGACTTGATCTCCACTGGGACCTTCAGACTCACTTGACAAAAGGCGAGCTGAGGTCACTGGGTTCTTGGGAGTGGAGAGTACCCTGGTCTCAGTGACCAGGAGCCCTGTCCACGGAGCACTCGGGTGACCGGGGTAAGTTGGTCCTTCCTGGCCTGGCCGTCTGCGGTCTGTCCCTTCCTTGCACATCCCCCGACTCCCAGAATCCAGGGTCTTTGCACAGGCGTCCACCCAGCACCAGCATCCCTGTGCTCAGAGACACCCTGGACAGAGCACTCATACTTGTCCTGTGCAGCGTGTGGACAGGTGGAGGAAGCTACTGGATTCAGTCTGTGACTCCATCCACCTGCGGACCTCTCTGTCTCCCTCCCCAGGAACAGGGTCTGAGCCCCAGGGCCTAGTGCAAAGTAGTCACTCAACAAACTCTGGATACATTGAATCCTGAATGTCAAAGTCAATTCACCAATGAGCACACCTACTATACGTGGAGAACTTTTCCGGCGGATACCTCTGTTCTCCTCTCTGTCCTTTTCGTTCAGGCTACTCAGGTTTCCAGAAGGCATCCCTGGAGGACCCCACTCCATCCTCCACTCCTAGCCCCACACCCACCTTGTTGAAATCAAAGGTCTCGAAATCTGCTCCACATACTGGCTGGTGAGGGGCTCAGGTTCTAAGACCGAAGAACTGCCGAACTCGTAGGGGTGGCGGCCCGAGGGCACTCGGTATAAACTTCTTGTACCACTGGTGCATTCGGTGCGCTTAGCTCCTCCAACTGACTTGCCCTCCATCACGTTGCCCTGCCAGGCCTGCAGGAAGTTGTGTGCCAAGATGGACAGTCCTGATCCCTCTGAGCCCTGCAAGGGTGACTTGGCTTTCTTGACACTGGCCCGCTCTTCCCGCGGGCCTGGCCAAAGACAGCCATGTTGATTAGGATGAGCAGGGGAAATGATAAGAGTCAGGGGCAGAGAGGACACCAGATGGGCCCAACACACAAAACCAGAGGATGCAAGAGGACTTGCGTAAAAGTCCCCACGAAGTCTTGCAGCAGGTGGGGACTGCTCCGTGGGGAGGAGCAGTGGAAATAGAACAAGCTTAGAAGCAGAAGCCCCAGGATTACAGCCTGCAGCTGGGGGGGAGAGGATTTTCTACTAGTTGCAAGCTGCTGATCCCTCTTACAGGCGTGGTGGCCAGGAGTTGCTCTGACCTCTGACCTCTGTGCCTTCCCTGCTTATCCCACTTTCAAATGGGTTTACAGTGTTCGGGGACCCTGCCCTCAGATGTGGAACCTGGGTATGTGTAAGATGGACGGCTCCACTTGCCGCCAGGCCAGCTGTGGGCCCGACAGGACTGCTGTGTACAGTTATCAGGTGTGCACCACACTTGGCCGTTACAACTGAAGGACATAATCACACCTGGACACCCACCACACACACACACACCACACACACACACACACACTCACGTCTGTTCTGACCACTATTTCCTGTCTCTTCCCATCCTGACTCTGAGTCTGACCCCTAATCTTTTTTTTTTTTCTTTTATTATTCATATGTGCATACAAGGCTTGGGTCATCCCCCTTTTGCCCCCACCCCTCCCTTACCACCACTCCACCCTCCCTCTCCCCCCACCCCTCAATACCCAGCAGACACTATTTTGCCTTATTTCTAATTTTGTTGTAGAGAGAGTATAAGCAATAATAGGAACAAGGGTTTTTGCTGGTTGAGATAAGGATAGCTATACAGGGCATTGACTCACATTGATTTCCTGTGCGTGGTGTGTTACCTTCTAGGTTAATTCTTTTTGATCTCACTTTTCTCTAGTTCCTGGTCCCCTTTTCTATTGGCCTTCAGTTTGCTTTTAAGGTATCTGCTTTAGTTTCTCTGCGTTAAGGGCAACAATGCTAGCGTATTTTTTAGTGTCTTACCTATCCTCACCCTCCCTTGTGTGCTCTCGCTTTTATCATGTGCTCAAAGTCCATCCCCTTGTTGTGTTTGCCCTTGATCTAATGTCCACATATGAGGGAGAACATACGATTTTTGGTCTTTTGGGCCAGGCTAACCTCACTCAGAATGATGTTCTCCAATTCCATCCATTTACCAGCGAATGATAACATTTCGTTCTTCGTGGCTGCATAAAATTCCATTGTGTATAGATACCACATTTTCTTAATCCATTCGTCAGTGCTGGGGCATCTTGGCTGTTTCCATAACTTGGCTATTGTGAATAGCGCTGCAATACAGGGTGTGCAGGTGCCTCTGGAGTAACCTGTGTCACAGTCTTTTGGGTATATCCCCAAGAGTGGTATTGCTGGATCAAATGGTAGATCAATGTTTAGCTTTTTAAGTAGCCTCCAAATTTTTTTCCAGAGTGGTTGTACTAGTCTACATTCCCACCAACAGTGTAAGAGGGTTCCTTTTTCTCCGCATCCTCGCCAACACCTGTTGTTGGTGGTGTTGCTGATGATGGCTGTTCTAACAGGGGTGAGGTGGAATCTTAGCGTGGTTTTAATTTGCATTTCCTTTATTGCTAGAGATTGACCCCCTAATTCTTACCAGGGACGTGGGGTGGGGGACATTGGTTGTGCTTCTGGTGCCCTGTGTGTGTGAGTTGTTGAGAATGCAGGCGACAGGTGTTCCCTGTTGGTTCTGGAAAGCTCCCAGGACCAGCCTCAGGGCTGTCAGTGCTACACCACTGCTTCCTCTGCCGGCGCCTGTGAGATGTCCACAGACTTGCAGTTGTTCAGACACTCAGGAGGTTGGGGCGTGCGGGGTCTTTAGGGACTTGTTTGTTACAGCGGCTAACCTAAACCCTTCTGGCTGATACAAAGTCTGTATGGTTCCAATACTGTGCCAAATTCTGTGTTTTTCTAGATACATAAGGCCTACTGAGCCCTTCTCAGAAACCCTCCTGCCTTGGTCCCTTCCCAGACTGCAAGGCTTCAAGGAGGTTATTGTTCTTTTTGGTTTTATGAGATAGCATCTTACTATGTAACCCAGGGTGGCCTCAAACTCCTGATCCTCCTACCTCTGCCTCTTGAGTGCTGAGATTACAGCTATGCACCACTGTGCCTGGCTCAAGAAAAGGATTCTTTTACTCCCATTTGCAGTTCTTTTTCTTTCTTTATGTTTTTATGGTACTGGTGATTGAACCCAGAGCCTCATATATGCTAGGCAAGCATTCTACTACTTAAGCCACCTGTTTTTGAGACAGGATCTTGTTATCTTTGCCCAGGCTGGCTTCAAATTCTCAATCCTCCAGTCTCTACCTCCTGAGTAGCTGGGATTAGCATGTGTACCAACATGCCTATTTATAATTCTTTTTCTTCAGAGAACACAAAGTATGGAAAATTTATACATATATGTTTGTGTATATATGTAATACAAATGTGCTTATGGTTTTATACAATTATACTATATAAATATATAATATAAGTAAATATATTTATATTATATAATTATACTCTGATAGATAATATGTATCAGGGTACATATACCTATATTTCAGAACAGGCTAAGTTATGTTGCAAACACTGTAAAATCTGTGTGACTTAAAGTGAAATAAATTTACTTCTAACTCACATTACTGACTGGGTGACTTGGAACAAGTAACAAACTCTCCGGTCCTTAGTTGCCTTTCTTATGATCTTTTTTTAAAAGATCTTATGATCTTTTAAAAGATCTTTTCTTATGATCTTTCTTTAAAAGAGTATAATAAACTGGGCACTGGGGGCTCATGCCTATAATCCCAACTACTTGAGAGGCTGAGATGGGGAGGATTGTGGTTTGAGGCCAGCTGGGGCAAGTAGATCACCAAGTGAGGCTGCTCCTCTGGCCCTGCCCTACCTGGCATCTCCAATACGCCCGGGGTGTGGAGGGTGGTGCACTCAGGGCCGCCTTCCTGCAGCTGGCCCTTCTCCCCACGGGTGGCATTCATGAAAGCCACTGGTTGCCCCTTTTTCAATTCCACAACTCATTTTGTCATTATTCTGAGCAAGTGGGCACGATGCCTGGGTCCCAAAGGGTTCAGAGCTAAGGATGGTCCTTAGAAGACCAGAGAGAAAGACAGATGTGGCTCAAATTCACGCTGCAGTCCCTGTCATTCGTGGCACACACGATTCCTGTGATTGGGAGGGGACACCCAAAATGCTAACAGTGCTGATCTCTAGGCCATGGGATCACCCATGACTTTCAAGTTTTTGTAGTGGTTCATAACAAACCTGAGTTGTTCACATAATCAGAGGAGAGTTTTTGAAAAAGAAACCAAACAGGAGTGTTTTGCTTCTCCTCTACCTAAAGGATGGATTTGGGGTGCACAGACGGGGATCCATGGCTTTGGTCAGGTTCTCAGGACCCGCCGGGGAGGAAGGTGTTCTGATTCTCAGCAGAATTAACCTCCCCCCTCAACATCACTGACAGTTTGCTTATGTGCTGTATTAGTTTTCTGTGTTGTGTAACAAATTATCACGAGTTAACCAATCTAAAGCCATATGTATTTATTACCTCACAGTTTCTGTGACCCAGAGACTCACATGCTATCAGGGCCGTGTTTTCATCTGAACACTCAATTGGGGTAGACCCCACATCCAACTTCTGAGCTGTGTGCAGAATTCCCTTCCTTGCAGCTGGGTGTCTGCGACTCTGGCTCTTTGATGGATGTCATATGCAGGACACTCACAGGACATCAAGCCTGTGGTCCGGAGAAGCCACCTATAAACTCGTTTCCTGGGCTTCCTCAGCATTGTCTGCTTATTCCATCAAGCCATCAAGGAGCGTCCCCTTCAATCTGCTAACTACGGACTCTTTCATAATCAAGGCAAGGCAGCCCATACTTCTGCCACATTCTGTGGGACAGAAGCAAATCACAGGCCTCACCCACACTCCAAGGGAGGGGAGTATACAAAGTCAGGATGACAGGAGGTGGAAATATCTCGGGTCACCTCAGAATCTGTGGTAACATTCACACTTGGACAAGAACACAGAGACATAGCACCCAATTCCTTCTGCACTTGAGAGCAGCTGCATCTTGCAAGCCTGCCCTCAGGAACCCAGAAACTCACGGAGGACAGAGACCATTGTCTTATCTCTAAATGGTCCCAGCACCTAGCACTGGGACCAGCATGGTCACATGCTGGTTATCCCCTTCACCACCTTTTTCATCTAGCTCTGTGCCCCAGGAGGCTGACCCCAAGAAGGCTAGCACCCATGGACTGGTTCATCCTTGCCCTCTGGATTCCCACTGGGCTTTTCCATTGAGGCACACTGGAAGAAGACTGGAGGTGGCAGGAGAGAAGGATGTAGGTACCCAGTCCTCACTGCTGGGTCAGTGTGTGTGTTGGCGGGAGTGGCTTTCTTCTGCCTCCAGCCCAGCTCCTGGGCTTCCATGGTAACAGCCCTCTCACTTTACCCAGCAGGCAGGGATGTCCTTTGGTTGCAGCTTGCTGGGAATGTCACCACTCCCCCACCCTAGCCAGTTCCCAGTCCTTAGTCCCCACATTAAGTGCTCCTCAGTGACCTTCTGGAGAGTAACAGTTGACAGGTGCTTGAGCTCAATGCATTACTATTTAGTGAGTGAGCACATGCTGACTAAAGACAGGAATGATTGAAGAAGGCTAAGGTGGGATGAAACTGTTAGCAATGTACTATCAAGGACCACGCTGAGCTTGGTGGATGGGCTCACAACACAATAGTTCCCCAGTCCTGGGAGCAGGGATTTGAATTTCCATGGGAGACAGAGGGAATTTGAGGCAGGAAACAAACCACCCACCCAGGCTCACAAAACTTTCAAGTAGTGGGACTTTTTCCACCTCTAGTCACACTTGCAGCATAAACCTTCAACTCTCTAAACAAAGGCTGGAGGGACCCCAGACGTCCCCCATCTGGTGCCATCTTCAGCCTTCTTGTGACCATCTACTTACGAATTCCATTGACAAAGAGCTTGCTCCTTTGGGTGGGGAGGACCCAGGTGGGAGTGGAGTCTCCTGAGACCCAGATGCAGAGTCAGGGAGGCCTGGGATCCAGACCAAGCCTCGGAGAAGAGGCCTGCACCAGAGGCTGTGCGGATGTGCAGGGGAGCAGATGTCATGGAAGAGAACCTGTGGCTTCCCTGGCTGCTCTGCCTACAGTAATCCCTCCTGGGACAGGTGCTGTGCCACAGGTGACTCACCTAGCTGCATAGGCAAAGGAGACAAGTGGTGAACCACTTGTGCGGGGAGACAGAAGCCATCCAGGAAGAGATAGAAGGGGCAGCAATCCCAGGCCTGACTTGCTCCCCTCTCCAGGTTGATCTTCTGCCCACTCTCACTCCATAGCAACACAACAGGATCCTGAGTTTGGTTCTTCTGCCTTCTAACATTACCACACCCCCCCATCCAGGTGGCACCACCTGCAGCTTCTTTAAAGAACGCTGCACTACCGCGATTGACCTCAAGGGGGCGCGCATTCTCCAGGGGCGGGGAGGAGGATCTGCTGGTGCACCCTGCCCCTGACCAGCAAGCAAGCTACATAGTCTGCGAGTTGGAGATGGTTCTTGTCTATATTTTTGCATCTCAAGCGCCCAGTTCATAGTGCTGTCAGAAGATCGAACGGAATGAATTATGGAATAAATGATTAACTTCTGGTTATATTTTCAAACTGAAAACATGCATTAATCTCTGCTTCTTCTCAAAAACCCCACTAAAATGGCAATAATTACAAAGTTACAAGACCCCAGAGATAAAGACAACAGCAGACAAAAACTTCTAGTAAAATGTTGGAAAACAAAAGGCAAGTGGACAAGTGACGACCATCTCCTCAGAGTGGATATTCCAACTTCAGTGCTTGCTATGAAGAGGAGAAGGAAGGTGGTACAAACACAAACCTGGTCCTGCTGAAGAACTCTAAGGCTGGAGGCGGTGCACCAGGCACCTCGGAAGACTGGGATGCAGGATGTGTGGGGCAGAAAATGGATGGGTCAAAGTTTGCACAAGGGGCTCTGAGCTGCCCAGGTGCCCTCTGCAAAGCAGCAAAGCCCTCCTACTTATCAATCCCTCGTCACCTGAAGGTTATGCTAGACATTTAGACCAGAGAGGCCAAGTCTGTAGGCACAGCCTTAGGAGGAGGAAGGACACTTCTGAAGCGGGGAGCTAAGGGCAAGTCTGTGTGTGAAGAGATGACCGCTCACCCACCCCGGCTCCTGGAAGAAGGAGATGCCAAGGGGCCCAAGGGTTGGCAAGCATTTGAGGAAAGGCTCAGAGCTAAGAGCCCACAACAGCAGACAGACACACTGGCTCCTCCACTGCCAGGGCAGCCTCTCTTCAGGGATTCTCTCTGTTCTCCTCTCCTCTTCTAGAACATTCTGTCCCTCCTTCTCACACCAGCCCCAATCTCTTGCATGTAAATGTAAGAACTGTGCTCCACTGAACATGCTGCCATAGCTATTCGTGGCATGAGTGGTGACTCCAGGAATGAGACCAGCTCGATGTGCCCAAGTGTGCTGGCAAGTGCCAACTAGCTCTATGGAAAAAAGACTCCAAGTTGTAGGTATTTTCTATTTCCATGGCGAAAAGCCTCTCACGTTGGCCAATTTATGAAGTCACTGAAACTGAGGAGTTGGGAAGAGACAGGCACAGTCAGATCCCACAGGCCAACATGAGCTGCCCCAGGAACCACACAGAGTCACTCTGGTGACTGGGACTAGGGCTCCCTCAGGCCATTGGTATGGGCCCAGTGGCCTCGGCCTCCAACCCTCCTCCTCCATGAGCTTGGCCCATGAGGACTGTTAGTCTTGGAGTTAGCTTCTGGACCAAAGGAGAGACCTGGAAGGAGATTCCATCCCCCCACCACAAACTACAAATCAGAGATCATGCCACATAGAACGGGGATGGGAAGGGGCTCCCTAAAGACTGCATTTGGTCCCTGCAGGTGGGCTGCTCTACCCTGGGGTAAGATGATGCCATGAGACAGCAGGGTAGTGGTCAGCGGATGTATTACTTTCTTATCTTTGGAGGAGTTGCCAAGCCTGGACCACAGGGATGCTGTGCCCAGCATGGGATGAGACTCAAGCCTTGGAGTGGGGCTGGAGTTACTCTTGGGGTGAGGGGACTGAGAATAGGTTCTTCCAAGTCTTCAGGCTTCTCTGAACATCACCAGCCTATGCAACACCCCATGGCCTCAGTTCACCCACCCGTAGCCACCCATTCAGATGCCAGAGAAAGAAAGGACAAAGTTTAATTGCTACTAAGAGGACAGCTTCTGCCGTTGTCGACAGGTGGGTGTGGCGCATGTGGCTAGCATGACACTGCCCCTCCTGGAGCAAGCAGCCTTCCCCTCTGGGACCCAGGTCACAAGGGTGAGGGTGCAGGCCAGGGGGCTTCTGGATGGCATGGGCCTAGGAGCGCCACAAGAACAGGTTGGCAGGAGGCACATCGAAGCGCTTGCGGGTGTGGTCAGTGTCCCTGTGGTACAGGTAGCCACAAGTGGGCTTCTGCAAGGTGTAGAAGGGGTTCAGGGAGCTGGAATACTGGGAGGTGTAAAAATTGAACCTGATCTTGTCCGGATTCTGTCCCCGGGGGTCCACCACAACTGGCACATAGGCCGCCACCAGAGACTGCGCAGGGTCCTGCTTCCACGTCCGGGACAGGAGCGAGGGCGGTGCCTTCACCTTTTGGCCTGATGGTGTCTTCGGCCCAGTGGTGGCCAGGTTCTGAGGGTTTCTGACAGTCCTAAGAAGAGGAAAAGAAGGAAAGAGTTGGGGCATCATATCCTGGGACTTTTGCTAGGGCCAAGGGCAGAAAAGAGGAGAATGAACCACTGTGCAGAACTCCGAGTCGCCTAGCAGCACAGCTCGGCTAGCCATGGAACCAGGGACCTCTACAGCAGGGGACAACCTTCAAAGTTCTCTGACCTGATTCCTTTTATTGCACACCTCTGCCTGTTTATCAGAGGGACCTGCCAGCT